TGCAGCTGAGATGGAATATCAATATAAATGCCCATTGTTGGAGAACTGTTTATATGAATTATGCCACACTGCACAGTGTGCATCCAATATGAGAAAGCTTCCTGCACTTTGATAATATTTTGATAATATTTTAAGATGCTTTTAAATGAGAAAACATGAGGTGCAGAAAGGTGTGTAGAATTTGCTGACATTTGTAAAAATTGGAGAGGTAATATTGCTTTCTCTATACACAAAGCTATCTCTACAAAGAATTAACAGCAAGCTAACAGAACTGAGGTTCACGGGAATTATGCCTATGAGGACCAGAAGAAAAGGAAGACTTTTCCTTGTATCTTTTTTTCCCAAATGTTTGAAACATGAAAGTGCATTAAAATGGAACCACTTAATTACAAGAAGTTTTACTTTAAAGTGGTATTAAAAATAACAGTGCCAAGCAGAAATCAACCACAAGGTTTGGTAGAAAAAAATGGAGTTGAGGGCATAACACTCAAAAATGTCGTCACACAGAAAAAAAAAAAAAAAAAAACTAATAAAAATAGCAGCAGAGTTTTGCGCATGTCAGGTGGTTAAGATATGCCTAAATACTACAATAATATGGTACCTTACACTGAGAGAGACTGGCAAGTGTGTTATAGGAATTATATCTCAGAAAAGTTGATGTTTGTGAGTTATTGTGTGGTGAAAGAAGGATGATCTGAAATCTAATGGAAATTTGCCAGAACAGATGTCAATGGGTGTGTCCTGTGACACACACAGTGAATTGCAGTAGTTGGATTAATGTTTGCAGGTGCCTATTTTTAAACTAGGCATTATTACTTAAGAAAATAATATACTTTGTACTTTGTTACATTGCTAAAGGATATTCTAAAGTGTCACTTGATAATGATGTCTCGTGATTAGTTACATGACACTATTCATGGTAAAAATATTTACAATATCTCAGTAACAGAAAATGTAACATAAAAAAGTTAAGTTGGATAGTGCAATTGCTTTAAAAAAAAGAAATTCACTAATTCTCAAAGGCTCAAAGAGTAATAATAAAAAAGCCAATTTCTTGTTAGGTAGTTAGATATATTCTGAAATTTTAAAAAATGTTCTGTAAAGTAAAACATCTATTATTATGTTACATGGGAAAATATTTATTTTCTAAACTGTATATAGCATAAGCAAAAATATTGACTTAGATATTCCTCAGTACTTTAGTCATAATTTTTGAGAAAGTTTGGCTTAAAAATACCATTTAGGCCAATATTCTTATTCTGGGCAATTCTGGTGTAATGCAAACAACAAAAGAGATGTTTATCAAAAATCATCTACTCGATGTATTCAATTTTTTTAATTCTTCACATTATTCATAGAATGTACTGTGTATACACATTTCTCCTTTAGTCTTAGAGTATTTTAGTTTAAAAAGTATTAAAACATTTTAAAACAATTTTGATTTTTTTTTTAACCTGAACTATTATCCTGACTCTCCTAAACTCAACCTCTTATCTGTCACTTCTCAGGCTGAATATTCTTCCAAAGTCATCATCAGAGTAAATGTATATTTTAAATTTCATACTTTTAAAAAAATTTAAAACTATTGGTGTAATAAAATTAAAATGTATACACTGTGGCAAAACAAAAAATAAGTCACACTCATTATAATCATATCTATTTACATCTTATTCTTTATTTCAAGATATTTGTATTTGTATTGGTATATATTTCAGAGAAAGAGAAAACAAAGAGAGGAAAGGAGGGAGAGAAGAGAGAGAGATGATAGGTAAATTTTAGTTATTTCAAAATAATCTGCCAGGTGTGGTGGCACAAAAATGTAATCCCAGTGGCTTGGGAGGCTGATACAGGAAGATCACAAGTTCAAAGCCAGCCTCAGCAACTTAGTGAGGCCCTAAGTAACTCAGCAAGATGCTGTCTCTAAACAAAATATAAAAAGGGCTGGGATGTGACCCAGTGGTTAAGCACCCCCTGAATTCAATCCCTGGTATCAGGAAAAAAACTGATATTTTTTTCATAAAAATGATGTGTTAAGATTAGGGAACTAGACTAAAGAGCAAGATTTATTTTACTTTGTTGTTCACTCACAAGTGAGAGAAAAAAGATAGACTAAAAAAGTTAATAAACATTTGGTTAATATTCTCTTTAAAAGAAAATGAGAATGTATAGCCTGTCAAAGATTTAATCTGTGAATATTTATAAATTTTAAATAGCCATTTTTTATAAAAAGAATCACACATTTTACGTTATTTTAAATTTTCTGAATATCTTGAAATATTGCTTACTATCACTACTCCTCATAATTACTGAAACCATGAGTTCCACTGTCTAAACTTTCAGTAGAGAAATGTACATATATTAGTGGATATATCCATATATATATATATATATATATATATATATCCATATATATATAAATAAATGTGTGTGTGTGTGTATATATATACTAGAATATTTTTAAAATATTTTATAACTTTTGTAATGATCAATTTCCTTTGTGATTTCATTTCATACACTTCAAAACATCATCCTGAGCAAGACATAGACTTCAAAGAAGACCTGGCATTCTCTATTAACTTTTTCTTTTATAGCTAAGTGTTTTGTTTATTGGGATTGCAGTGGTGTCAAATAATATTCTCCGGGTAACATATCTCATTCTAATCAGTTCCTTCTGGAGATACAAAATATATAGTCAAGGATATGGGAAAAAAATACATAACACTTACTGAGAAGGAAGGCACTGGGTTCCCTTCAGCTTATACAATATAAGATGATTTAATAGTTTTCTCTACATCTCTATATCTCATTTGTCCTGCTAAAGCACAAAAATTCATCCCTGTTTTCATAGGTATGCTAAGAGTTACAAACAAGTTTGAATCTTATGAAAATTTAAACACAGATTTCTTATTTTATGTTTTGCAATACAATTTATAGTTATGAATTTGAATGTACAAAATATACTTCTTTTTCAAGAGTAATAAAATTATTACACATGGGGACTTATTAAAGCTGGAAAGTTATCTTGGCAGGTGTTCACTAGCTTTCTTGTTGGATACTGAAGAATGAAATCCAAATTCCATTTCTATTCCCCAGTGACTTCTAAATTCGCTAATAAGTTATTTTAGAACACCAAGCTCACCAAGTTGATGACAGAAAGATATTTCTCAGATTTTACAACAAGTATATCTTCTCAGATCAATATTCTCTTACCTCCAATGATCCTCACACAAAAAAGAGCAAATCAATATTTCTTTCAGCCAACATTAACTACCCATTCTAAATTATTTCTCAGTCTCATATGCTTCTATAATTTTATAGAACAGATTTTTTATCATACATCAACTATGCCTATTTTAAATTTATAGATATTCACAGATTAAATCTTTGACAGGCTATACATTCTCATTTTCCTTTAAAAGGAGTATTAACCAATTGTTTATTGACTTTTTTAGTCTATATCTTTTTTTTTCCCTCTCACTTGTAAGTGAACAACAGAGTAAAATAAATCTTGCCCTTTAGTCTATTTCTATAAGCACTCATCAAACTCCAATACTGGGAGATTTGGATAGAACTTACATCTCTAAAATTCTTAAGTGTATGAGACAAGCAATGAGGCTCTTAAAGCTTTTTAAAATCACTGCCTCTAAAATTGCTGCTACCTTTTTAGAAGGCTAAGGAAGAAGGAGTAAAAAATAACAAAAAGACAAATAATTGAAGGTTAATAAAGCAGAAGACATGTAAAAGAAGGAAAAATTTTAAAAGTATCAGAATTGAATAGAAGGGGAAAAGCAAAGTAAAATAAAAACAAAGACAAAGTAGAGTAAATTAAAATATAGAAGGCATCATGAGTGAAAGGTGGATAGTTAAAAGTTGGCAAAGTGGTTACAGTTACATCAAATTGAAAGTGTCATAAACAGAAAGTTGTTAACAACTGGAGTTTGAGGTTCAGAAATATATAGACTGTCTTTTGCCTAATAAAATTGAACTTAATAATAATTTATTAAATAATAATTTATAAATTATTATTAAATAATATAATTATTTAATAATAATTTATAGAAACAATCACTTTCCCAAGTATAGATGTTTACATGTTGCATTTATATGTGGAAAAGCTATATCCTGTAAAAATGTTTTTAGTATGAGTTTAATGTAGCTATTATTGAGTTCAGATCTATTAAGTATGCTAAACAGAAGTATCCTTTTGTGGAAGCATATAACAGAATATTAGAAATTATCAGATCTGTCTAAATGTAGATAGCATTGTTAAAGTAGTTACATTTGAGGAAAATTCTAAGGTGATGTCTATGGTACAGAAATAAAATCTAAATTTGGCAATTAACAGAGTTCTTTGAGGTTGTTTTGCAGGAAACCTCTAGAATCCACCAGAAACCAGGTAAAATCCTGTTTTTCTAAATTGAGCATGCACAGAAGCAGCCTGCTAACCCAAGACCTTTTGACATCGGGAGCTCAAAATGCTCAGCACAGAACAGAATAACTCCCTCTGAAAAAGGAGTATGGGATTCCCCCCTCACCCCACCTACAGAAGTAAAAGAACTCTAAAACAATTACTTCTTGTCATTCATCAATAAGCTGCCTTTCCCTCTTCCTGCCCATAAATTACCTCACCACCATGAGGAGATGTATTCAAGTATGCCCCTTTCTCCTTCTTGGTAAGCCTTCAATAAAGCTCTTCGCTTTCATAAACCTGTTGTCAAAAAGTATTGGTTTCCTCTTGTCACTAGCCATAAGCCTTACCAGTACTAATATATTTACTGGGAATCTATTCACCTCTGAGTGTCATATTTGAGCAATTATGGAATACAAAGAATAAATATGCCTATATTTTATTATTAGGTTATTAACTAAATACATGTAATATGTAATTTGGGAACTTTTAAAAACACCAAATAAATGTGTGTTGTCCATTCCATTTGCTATCAGACCAGTTGCAGATAATTTTGAAAAGAAAACACATTTTACAAAAGCAATTATCCATTTTTATTTTGTTTACATTGCACTGAAAATTTACATCATACTTTTACAAAGTTTTTTTTCATAAAAATATACTTCTTTACAAAAGTGTATGCATTAATATAAGAGGAGTAGCCAGTTGCAGAAGAAACATTGTTTAAACAAGATCTTAAATGTATTAACCTTAACATTAGTGAATGAATCATTGTTATTGCAGTCATTTGAATAAACAAGAATAAATAACTGATGGAATAAAATTTAAAACCGCATCCTGTCAGTAGAGTACAATGTTGAGAAAATTGTATGAATTTCCAAAACAATGTATCTCAAAGTGGTTTACAAGAAATTCACTAAATGTAGAGATAGATCCAAGCAGGGCTCCCAGGTGCAATGGTTTCTCTTAGGCACTCTGTCTCATGATACAAAAAGTTGAGACCATTCACAGAGTAGTCCATATTTGAAAGGGACAACAGAGAGTTCACACTGGGTACACAATTTTATTCAATGAAGTTAAACATGCTAAAAAGGAAGACAATGAACTAATAAATAAAAATGCTGGCATTGCTATATGATATAGTCTGTATATGAGCCACCAATAACTTACAATGACGTATCTCAATCTGACAATGAAAGAAACCTATTGTATCTGAAACCAGCTTTTTAAAGAATAAGGGGGCATAGAAATTTTCAAAATATGTGAAAATTTGATAAATCCACAAGTTAAGGAAACAAATTTATATTGATGATTTGAAAGATTGACTTTTCCTTCAATCTTATGCTAAGGGGCTAAAAAAACAACAAAGTATATTTCTAACTCTTTGTTAGAAATTTAAAAGTGTCAAAATGTTATATTTAAAGGCTTGACTGGAAGGATATGCAGACATACCATAAATTAAATACAAGAGATTATTAGTGGATGCTATTTGGTCTTTCAAAAACATTGGAAAGGTTGGTAGAAAATGGGAATAAGTTTGAAATCTCCGATAACTACAAAATAATCATCTTCATAGGTAATTTTTGTCAGTCAAAATGGTTTCTTGACAAAAAAACACTGAAGACACTACCCCATGGCTCACTGAATAAAACTCGTTATTCCATAAAAAGGAAATTGAGAAGGTAGCACAAGGAACTTGCCATCTGCAAAAACCTATGACCACCAGTCTCAAAGAACAATAGCAATATGATATCAAAGAACAAAAAATGGTCAAATCCCTGTGGACAACCTGATCTCTCCTGTGCCATAAATTAGCTCATAAACATTTAAAGGCATGACTCAATCTTAAATAACCATGAAGATAAGGAAAACAATGCCTCCATTAACAGGAATGAGAAGTGGATATTGTGGTATGCAGTACAGACTTATGGGTGTGATGGAGCTCATGACAGTTAAGTCAGTGATCTATTGACTCTTGTAAGTATAGCTCTTATTTTCTACCCTATATCTTTTTTTTTTTTGTAACCCAGTCCCTCTAATATAGTTTATAAAGCACAGAAATACTGATAGTGGATGCTCCTCCAATATATGCAAATAAGTTTATGTTTTAGAATAATCTCCTTTTTAAAAAAAGCAAATAAACTGTGAGTAAGCACTCTCAGAGTGCAGCTGAAATTTCTGTAAAACTCTCCATGGTAAACATGAAGAAGAATTATGATCCAGTTTATGAAAAAACACTCTTCTGTATCATTCCTCAGGAAAAGGTGACCCAGCAAGTCCTGAAAAGTGTGCTTTGTTTAGCAGTGAACTAAATGTGCACTGTTTTGTGTGTTGATTTCCAAGATTCTGAAGAAGGCCAAGAGTTGCCACGTTATACCATTGTGCAAACCGTGTTCAAGTTGGGATCGAATCGTACCGCCTTCCCCTCCACTGATTTGGCATTGGTGTCATACATGGGGTTTTCAAAAGCTGCTTGGCCATTGTTGTTTTCATGAACTGAGCAGCCTGTATACTGTGTTTTGGGTGCAGTCCTGTTGATGAAAGCATCAATTAATTGTGTTAACTTTCTTTCAGAAACAGCAGAGTAGGACTCAAACATAATGTATTTGAGTTTTCATTGTTGGTGGATAATATCATTTGAAAGTATTAATTTAAAAAAATCATAATAAATCAAACTCAACAACTTACTTAGCCTTTTAAATCCTGAATGGCTTTTATGATTTACATACAATAAATATTTATGTATAGCACCAGTGTAAATCATATAATAAATCATATTATGACCACTCTAAATTTTCTTATGAAATACAAACTTAATATTATAAATTTTGCATAATAAAATAAATTATCATGATGGATTTAAATCTCATTACCATTTCCTCATTTACTCATCAAATATTACAGGGCATCTATTATCTGCTGGGTATTCATTCTAGGCACTAGGTATAGAGCATTATTTAGACAGTAGATAAAGCTATTACTCTCATAGCTTTTATAATGTAATTAGAGAAAAATGGATAAATTTAAAATGAAACAAAACAAGAAAAACAGGTTGTTATGAGAATTGTTATGATGCAAAGAAAAATGATTGATGTGATAAAATATAAGTAGGAGCCACTTTAGAACAGGTAATTAGAAAATAAGTCTCTAAGAGGTAAAATTTAATCCTTCATGTCCTGAACTTTTGCACTAATCATGAGAAGGGAATTCTGTAAAGAATAGGTAACTTGTACTAAGGCCTACTTTGGGAAGGAGTATCCAGAAAACCAAATAATTTGCTTTTTAAAATTATATATGTTAGATGCAAATCAAAACTACACTGAGATTTCATCTAAGTCAAGATGTCACTCATTAAGAATACAAATAAAAAATGTTAGAGATGATGTGGAGAAAAAGGAACACTTTTATACTGTTGATGAGATTAGCACATCTACTATGGAAATCAGTATGGAAATTTCTCAAAAGACTAGGCATGGATCCACCATCTGATTCAGCTATGTCATTCCTTGGTATTTATTTTAAGCATTTAAAGTCATCATACTATAGTGATACATGCATACCCATGTTTATAGCAGCATAATTCACAGTAACCAAACTATGGAACCAGTCTGTGCTCATCAATGGATGAATGAATAAAGAATCAAGAATATGTGATATATATATATATATATATATATATATATATATATATATATATATATATATAGATATATATATATATATATATATCTACATATATATATATATATCACAGACACACATACTAGAGTTCTATTCTGTCATAAAGAAAAATGAAATTATGTCATCTGCAGGAACATGGATGGAACTAGAGACCATTGTGTTAAGTAGAATAAGCCAAAATCAGAAGATCAAGTGTCACATGTTTTCTTTCATAAGTGGAAGCTAGTGAAGACAAAGGAAAAGAAAGGTGGTGTGTGTGTGGGGGGGGGGGCAAACAGGGAACTCAGGAAAATCAGCAGAAGAAAGAGCCTAGTGGGAGGGAGGTGGAGAGGGTAGAGAAAAGTCCTGGGGAGTGATATTGGCCAAATTACATTGTTATATGTTGGGTGCCTGTATGGATATGTAACAAAAAGTCCCATCTTTATGTACAACTATAATGCACCAATTAAAAAAATGTGGACGAAAAAGAAGAAAAAAAATGTTGTTAATAAATTAAAAAATCAAAGAAGAAATTAATACTGATATGAATGTCATAAAAACAGTTTCTAAAGAGTTATGATAATTAAACATTTGTCTTTAAGTTATAAAACACATGGAGTCTACTAGGCTGGTTTGTGTAAATTACTGTCTGGAATTTCCTTTTCAGTTCTTTATTTCTCCCACATTACACTTGCTTGTTTCAAGTTTATCTTTCCCACATCTCAATGTGTAATTTGCTGACATTTGTCATGAAACAAAAGCAGGCATACCATATAACCCAATTATCATATTTTTGAACATATAGCCAAAAGAATATAAAACACATGTTCAAACAAAAAGTTATACAGAAATATTTGTAGCAGCACAATTCATAATGTAAAAGGACCCAAGGTATGGATGTATTCAAACAAAACAATGTATTCATACAATGGTACATCAATCATTCAGCCACATAAAGGCATGAAATACTGATGCATGCTATCAATGAATTAAACTTAAAAAATATTTTGCTACATTTAAGAAGGTTGACACAAAACGTAACATATTGTATAAGTCCATTCATATGAAAAACCTATAATAAGAAATCCAATAAGAGTGTTGCAGATGGCTGAAGTTTGAGGTAACAGAAACAGGGAGTGACTGCTCATTGAGTGTATAGTTTCCTTCTCTAGTAATGAAAATGTTCTAAAAATACATAGTGTTGATGGCAGCAGGACACTGAAAATGTACTCAATGTCACCAAATCATACACTGAAACATGGTCCAACTGGTAAGCGTATATGCTACATGTATTTTACAACAACAATAAAAGGCTGGCATAGTTTTTTTTATATATAAATAAATTTAGTAATGATTTTTCTTTATCTACAAACATACTCTGATATAGATCAAACATTAACAACTTGTAATTTATAATTATATAATTCTTAGATATTATATACTGAAATATAATGAAAACATTTTTTTGAAAAAAAATGCATTTAGATAATATTAATCAAATTATCTGGTTACCTATATTTTCTCCTTGATAAATAGTTATCCCAAATAGTGGAGAATAATATACTAAAACCATTTACCAGAATTCGGTATTTGACAGAGTAAGCAGGACTTACTAATAATATTTATAGCCATATACTCTATCACAAACATAGAATATTAATTGCCTAATTTTTACAAGCAACAGGAGGCAATGAGAGGATTAGAAAATTTTATCAGCTGTCTACCCAGGTAAAATCAGTCAGTATTGTCTTGCGAACAAAGAGGTCTGGACAAAATCTTCTTCCTACTTCTCTAAATAAATCTGGCAGCAGATATCACCTCTTCAATTGAAACCTTAACCTAGATTTTCCATCTCTAAAGTCTCATTATGGATAATGTAAAAATAACTTGCATAATTAGTTCTATACCAGGAAACTGACAGGAAAATGAGGAAGAGTTAGGTTGAATGCTTATGCAATTTAACAGAGCAATCTTTGTAATGTGTATGTAGAATTGCAGGCGTGGGCTAGGGAAATAAGGTTTTCAACAACTGTAGCAATAGTTGGCACACAGGTTTCAACAACAGAAAAAAACAAAAGGAAATTAGGATTTGAACTAAGGCAATGGATATAACAAGATTTTTGGAGCATTTGGTAGTTAAAAATCAATTGACTTACCTTTGTTTATAAAGATAAAATCCAAATCCTGCAAATATAAGTGCAAAAAAAGGCACAAGAATAGCAATGGCCACAGAACTACTATTTGTACCATGAGGCTGATTTGAAGAATTTGAACCTTCTGACATATTTAGTCCTACAAAGTACAAAAAATAAAAAAACACAGAAACAACTCGATGTTATAATTCATTTCTCCTTTTATAAACCATTTAATTCCTTCCATTCTCAAAATATCTATTCTGAAATATACATAGTAAACAAAAACAATTCTTGAAACATCTTCAACTCATTTCCACACATTTTTGCACAATGCCTACAATGTATAGGTATTTTTTAAGGGAAGGATATAAACTAAAATTTAAGTAGTGCCCTTGAACTGAGTTCATATATTAGTGGGAAGACTTACGGAGACATTGTATATGTCAAGTATGAATTAATGGTCAATGTGCTTTAGAAAGAAAAGGTGTATACATACATCGAGTCTGAACTCATGGTCATGTGCTTTAGAAAGGGAAGTGCTTTAGATAAGCCATACAGCACATTTGGAGGACATGCAATGTAGGTTTGGCCTTGAAGAAAAAGTAGAACAACAAACAGAGAAGGAAGCAGCAGCAGCATACAAAGAGAGATGGGAAGATGATGGTATATCTAGAGAACAAACACTGACCTGTAGTAGGAGAAAGAAGGTTAAACTAAGAAGCCATAGCTTGCCTCTAAGACGGAAGAAATATTCTTTTATATTTATTTGTTTTTTATTGGTACTGGGAATTGAACCCAGGGCGTTTAACCACTGAGCTTTTTAAAAACAATTTTATTATTATTATTATTATTATTATTATTATTATTATTATTATTATTATTATTATTATTTTAAAACAGGGCCTCACTACATTGCTGAGGCTGGCTTTTAACCTACAATCCTCCTGCCCCAGCCTCCCCAGCCTCTGGAATTACAGGCATGTTCCACTGGGCCAGGCTGGAAAGGAAAATGCTGAGGAGCTCCAAGTTGCTATTCACCTCACCAAGGGATGACTAATGGTGTTTAGAAATGAAGGATCCAGTGATAAGATACAGGAATTAGAGGAGTGACGGTGGTGATGTGGACATGAAGGAAGGCAAACTGGAAGCAACTGCAGCTAGAAGGTCATAGCAAAAACCCAGATTTAAAAAGGAAATTAAGATTTGAACCAAGGCATTAGGAAGACATGAAAAGAAAGATTTGGTAACATTTCGTAGTCAAAAACATAAGTTGTTTGTGTGGATGGCACAAGTAAGATGACACAGAACTGATTTTTCTACTTCAAGATAAGCAAATGGCAATGGCATTGCTTGAGTTGGGAAGTGAGAAAAATCAGACTTGTCAACATGTTGGCACAGGGAGGGAAAAGAGCAAATAGCTAACAGCTCTTTTTCAAAAATAAAATCTCCTTTTTAAAGGTTCTGTTTTAGACATGCAGTGTTTGAGACACTTTAGGGGATATTAAATGAAAATGTATTACATTCAATGACACAACTGTGTTAATGAGCTGTATTAATGAATGTTTTAGGCTGTTTTTAAAAGGAAAAAAAATTAAGTAAAACATTATGTGGTAAGGCTTATTATTATCATTCATTTAGAGAAAACTGAGTTTCCTTTTCAACTAAGCCATAACTTTGTCTGTATTACCAAAACATTAATACCTTTTTCTATACCTCGTTTCTCCAATGAATCAGTACATTTATGAAAATTTCAAAGCAATGATTTTTTTGAAGATGAATATTAAACAATAGCTTTTAGAGACTGAATCAATTTTTATGTATCCATACCATAGTGTAGTAATGGGAGACAGTAGATTTTTGGAAAGGTATACACCAGAAGTTATATTTATAAACATATTCTAAGAAGACTATTAAATGTTTACCCACATATTAGAAGAGTTTGAAATGAGGATGCTAAAAATTTGTGCCTCTCATCAAAAAAATTTACATATTTCCTCAAGTTTCTCACAAAGGTACTATGTTTTCAGAGGAGTAAGAAAATTGTAACAATATTCAAACTGAAATGAAGTAGAATAGTTCTCATGAGATAAGATGAAATAATTTACAGTTTAATATTTACTTTATTTCTATATTACTTTTTCTTATTTTTACTCGCTTAAGGGCTAGACAGTTTGTCATATTTATTAGAAATATGATGAAAAGCTAAACATCGTACAGAGTTGTTACATAGAGAACTGACATTTTGAGGAAAGTGATTATTGTAAAAAATGCTATCAAATGTATCAATTCTGACAATGCAGAATTCAAAATATAGCAAGTATGCCTAACATATAAAGTCTACTCTGTTTTCTCATGCTGTCTAGGGTAATAAAGGAACTACATGAAAACCAAAATTAATACATTACCCAGTCTTTGTAGTCCAAATTGCCCATAATCTTTGCCTTGAATAAATCCTTGAAATACATAAGTAGCTCCATCAGGCTCAGCAGAAACCTAAATAAATTTGAAAGTCTGATTAGATATGAAAACCAGCTATGGCTATATTTTTCTGTTCCTAATAAATGCCCAATTTTATTCTGACATTAATATTATCCAATGTTCCTTTCTTCAATCCTTTCCCTCCTAAGTGAAACAACACATTGTGCTAAATTCTCCATTATAAAAAGGAAACTAAAATTTCCAATTTAAGTAATTATGATATTGAAAAAAGGGGATTAGTTGTTAATATAATGACATAGGTGTATAGATCTCTCATAGACTAAGAAGCCTATTGTCCAAAAAATGGCATTAATATGATAAACAAGAGTGAGGCAAATGGTAAATTTAAAAATAAAATATAAAAACACTGTTCTTTATAAATTAGGTTACTCCTCTCATGGTACATTCATTCGTCCCACCCCAACACCTTCACAGAAAGTGTACACTGTGACCTGCTTTAGCCAAGGGCATGTAAGTGGAACTGAGCATAGGTCAGTTGTTGACCTAAACCATTGAGGCATATTTTCCATTACACTAAGTGAAAGATGCTAGTCACAAAAGCCCACATATTATATGACTTAATTCATATAAAAGTCCAGAAAAAGGGAGTATATAGAGGTATAAAATATATTGCTCAGGGGTAGAGTGAGAATGAGGGTTGGGGTAATAGCAAAGGTGTGGGTTTCTTTTTAAGGTGATGAAATTACTCTAAAATCATCATACTTATGGATGCATGTAATTGTCAATATTCTTATGACCACTGAATTGTATACTTTACAGAGATGAACATAGGCCATGTGAATATCTAAATTAAACTGTAAATAAAGAAACATACGTCAATATATTTATTTCAAAACCATAGAGCTTACTTCAGATCCTCTTGTTCTCCTGAGAGCTTCTGATTTCTTGAAACATGCTCCACATGGCTGCTGCCCCTCTAGCCTTAGCCCCAGAAAGAGTCATTGGAGTGAGCCCATATAAACTCAATACCACAGCCCAAATATAGATCTCTCATAGTGAACCCAGATAGATGAGAAAGAACTAAATACTTATTGTTGTTTGACCCTGAAATATTCTGGCTGTATCCAATGCTATAAATGCTGACTACTATGTGTTTTTTAAATGTGTATAAAGTCTTATATTTAAAAAACTTCATACGTATAATGTCATTTGATCTCATTAGTAAAACAGAAATTAATATATTTCAATGATCCTGAAAACTAACTAGTAATGTGAATATATCCTGAAATTTGTGCTAATTAGTGGCAATTAGTTACTTAAATCATGAGTGTTTCCATAAAAGTAGTAAGAAATTTTAATCTCTACCCTAAAAATCAAGAATACCAAATTACCTATGGACAACTGGTATTCATAAGTGATTTATTATCACTAGACATTATGTTCTCATCATGGTCATTTTTTTAAATGAAATACTTCTAAATTTAAAAATTCAAACTCTAATACTTTAATAAATGAATTCATTTTTGTTTCCTATATGAAATAATATAATTAAACAATCTTAGCATACTTATAACTTAAGTTCCTTTCCAATTCCACAAGTAATGGTACAGAATAGCGAAAGAGAATGGACAACTTTTTCCTTGGGAATCAAACTTACTGGAGCCTATAACTGAATATTTTATTTTTATCATTGTATCTTCCTTGTAAAAGAAGGCTTGGTATTTGAAAATATGGTCTGATATTCATGCTTATTCTTCAACAAAGATGCCTGCCCAGTGTGTTAATATATTACTTAACGCTTTCAACTATCAATTGAGAACATCCCATTCACATAAATGACTGAATCGTAAACCTACAGTAACTATCGCCTTACAAGAAGCAGCTTACATAAGTTGCTCTTCATTGACTATTTTATAAAATATTCTAAATTCATAATTCAACATAATGGACATACTTAATTTTCTTATACATTTTGTAAATACATTGTATATGCCTCACATATTGGTTCAAAAGAATGAATTATATTTGATCCAGATTTATTTATCAGACTATAGACTATAGCCAGAATATATTTGATGCAATCAATGAATACATTACAAAAGTATGCAAACATGTCAGAATTCAATAATCATAGGCCTTATACTTTAGAATATTAAATTTTTGTACTTATCAATATGTGTATGTATAAATATGTGTTATGTTCACAATGAGCTAAATTTACAAAATTCATTTTTTTCTGGACAAACTATAAATTAATTAAAATCAGCAGCAGAATTTCTAAAAATACTTACAAAGCCATCCATGGCCCAATTTTCCTCCTTCATTTTCTTCACAGAAGCATGAGCTGGTACTTTAATAAGATATATGTGTAACATTAGCCGAGCTTCCTGGCTTTTATATATACCTGTGAAATGCATGGACATCTTAGTATACTTAATTTTGTAAATAGTTATTCTTCACTTCACTATTTACTACTCCTTAAGTATATCATGTAAGATATGTGATAGGAAAAGAAATAAAACAAGTCCCAAGTCAAAGATGGCTTCACACATGGTGCTTTCCTTAAATACTGCAATATATATTGATCTCTCTTTCCGTTGAAATCTCAACTTGAGTCTTCTCTATGAGGTATGAATTACCTAGGCTACTAAAGATAAATATCTTTATTTATAGCAACATAATTCAATGATATTGCAAACAAAGTGATTTCTTTCCCTAATCAGATTAGTAAGAGCACAAACCAGAAGTTAAAATTCCCATTTTTGTTAATACTTAGTTAGGTGCTAACACTGTCAATGTTCTAGGTGCTGCTGGAGCCACAAATATGAAGATTTGTTTTTCCTAAACTTAAGATTTTTCAATAAAGTAGGAGGTGTAAGTAAGTTACACAAATAAGTAAAACACATGAGAGAATATAATAAATAAAAGACCAGAAGAGAGACTGACCATTCCACACTGAAGCAGATACTTATTTAAGGAAATACTTAGGAAGAAAAAGAACGTCTGAGCTAGGTTTTGAAAATTTAGCAGGATTTTTAGTCCAAGAGAATAATAGAACTAATGGCATAATATATACAATTTCTTTTACAGATTGAGAATGAGCTGCAGTATAAATACATTTGGAAAATAGAAGAAAATAAGACTAGATAAAAATTTCATGATTAACATTTACTTCAATTTTTACTCTATTCATTGACTCCCCTTATCATTTAACTATGGATAAGGCACCATTAGAATATTCTGAGCATACAAAAATAAGATATGCAAAATTTGACCCAAAGTAAATTGCAAGAAATAAAAAGAGGACATAATTAAATTTCTCAACAAAAATATCACTGGAAAATTTTTATAATTATTCTGTGTGGAGACAATAAGCAAATTCTAATTAAGTCAATCAAACATTTTCTGTTTGTTTCTCCATATTTGTAGGGATTTATTTTGAAGTTTTTCTACATTGTAAAAAATAATACCTTTCATTTGGCTAACATTTACAGAAAGTAAAGAAAAACCATTTAGATTTCAAAGGTAAATAATCATAACTTAAATGCATTTTCTCAGTTATTTAAAGTTTCTTTCCATTGATATTATACAATTGTGTATATTTTGAAAAATATAACACTAAATTCAGCTGGACGTGGTGGTACCTGCTTATAATCCCAGCTGCTCTGGAGGCTGAGACAGTAAGATCACCAGTTCAAAGCCAGCCTCAGCCATGGCGAGGTGCCAAGCAACTCAGTGGGACCCTGTCTCTAAATAAAATACAAAATAGGGCTGGGGATGTGACTCAGAGGCTGAGTGCCCTGACTTCAATCCCTGGTACCCTCCTCCAAAACTTCTAATACTCTTTAGTAAGTTTAATGAAGGATCATTCAATAATATAAAACAATGCTCAATATTTCTTCTAAAATTTACAAAATCAGTGATTATTACATTATTTTTCATTTTATTCTTACCAAAAATATTAATAATTATACTGAATAACTATATAGCCAAGAAATTTGCTATATATAGATATATATTTATGTCTCATATTTGCAATATCAAATATAAGTATTTCATATTTAAAAGTGAGAATGCTATTCTAACACATAATAGTTTATTTCAGCAACAAAAAAATTCTTGAAGAAATTTAACTTTAAAACTGAAGAGTTTTATTTTTGTATAATAATATTCACTTATCAATTCAAAAGCCAGAGAGGCTTATTTCTGAAAAAATTATGGATGTCATAATAAACAAATATTTCAATTATTTCACAGTATAAAATCATTACTAGAATAATGAAGTCATAATAAAATGAGAGCATGAAGGCACTATTTTTGTTGCTTTTTTTAAATGCAATACCTGAAAGCAGAAGTTCCATGTTGCTATTGCTCAGGGTAGCATTAACTCTCCCAGTAGAAGCATTGAAACTAGTCACTGTCAAGGTCATGGGTTGTTTCCTTCCTTTGAAATTGTAAGAGCCTTTCCATATATAATTTTGTGCAAACACATCATCAGGTACTGTGAATAGATTAAATAAATCCCACATTTTAATTTTATAGTGTCCTGTAAATATAAGTATTAAAGAGTAATTTAAAGAATATCAGCTTATTGAATGATGATATTTTACAAAATATACAATAATGTTGTGTATTTTGTAAAATATCATCTTTAATTATTCTTATAAAAATGTTTCAAGTTTTTAAGAATAAATCAAAATTATATTGGCTAGATTTCCTCACATGTCATCAATAAGAAACAATACCAATTAAAGACATAAGGCTTTATGTAGAACCCAGATAAATATAAGCTTTACTTATACTTGGTCTCCTATAACATTATCTGTCTTTCAGAAGGAAAATAAAATGATTTTACTGAGCCAAGTATGTCTATGCATAAGTTCTAAGAGGACTGTTTTTCTCCTAGCAGTGGGAAAAGGTTCATAGGAGGAAAAGCACAGAATAAATCTGTCCCATTTGCAAAATGGAGGGAATACTTCTGTGGCCCCCTTATGGAATACTGAGTTCGGTTATTCCAATAATAGATGCTACTGAAAAAGAGCAAGGCTGAACTATATTGACAGCTGTGAGGTTATAGGTATTTTTAGAAATAAAAGAATTGTCACTTGAATTGCCCAGTTCTCATGGGAAAAAGATTAAGTGTGGTAGAATATAGCAGAAGGGTTAGGCACTGGGTTAGGCTGCTTGTATTTAACTCCCTCCTCTACATTTTATAAATTGTGTTATCTTGCATAAATTACTTAACTCTAGACATGAATTTCCTCCTAATATAAGTGATTAACATAGTTTTTAGAGAGATTAAATGACAAAGAATGTGAAGTGTTTAGCTAATTGCTACCTGCTACCATCACTATTATTATTACTATTACAATTATTATTATTATCCAGATAGAATAGGGAAATTATTGCTTTTAAAGATCACTGAACAACTAGTAAAATATACACTTAGTAGCCAAGTAGTTACTGTCATGAAAAATCTATAGCACTGGCTCTGTAAACTTTGCTAAGTCATTTTCCTATTGGCACTGACCCCTTGAACTTTTAAGTTATACTGCTATGTGTGATGAGGAACCTTATCTAAAAGTTTGATATAGTATATGAATACAGACGCTTCATTTGGTAAGCATCTTAGATAACTTTGGCTAACAAAATTGTGTCTAGAAATGGTTTGTAAAAGACAGTGACAAGATAAATTGCCCAACATTAAAAATTGTCAAGGCAGATAGGGGTAACAGGCTCTTGGTTGCAGAAATTAGAGAAGATAAAAGCACAAAGATGTTCTAATAGCAGTGCTTGGCAAATAGTAGATTCTCAGTAAATAAGTGTTGTATCTCTGATTGTTTACCTTCCTTATCCTACATTATGATTGCCCTTCACTCACCAAACCTTTCATTAAAATCTGCCATGCCTAATGATCTTGTATCCATTGTGCTTAGAGAAATGAAAGAGCATTAACTGAAGAATATAAAAGAACATATCACAGAGGTAATAGTCATGGAACAAGAGAGGTAGCAGTAGCAGCAAAGTCAACTGCATCAGGATTCATCATTAATGTGGTAGTAAATGTTTAATGATGGGCACTTAAGGAAAAAAAAAGAAAAAAATCTAAGAGAATTTTCTCATTTAAATGGTAGCAATATGTCCATTATTGTAGATTCCAAGCTATCAACATGACATCTACTGAATGAAGAGTATGGAGAATTCCCAGAGTTGACCATAGTGAGCCTTCACCTTTCCCACACAAAAATGGGAAGTAAAAATTCATGAAGGGATGGAAGAGACAGACATTATTTGGTTACTGTACTCCAAGTATGATGGGAATGACATTTCTTTCTATTAAGTCTATTATGAGATTTATGTATAGTCAAGTATTTGGCAGTTCTGTGTAAACTAAAGTGTCATCCACATTGACGCAGACATCAGTAAAAAAGGAATAATATGGTCATGATCACTTCTTTTTTTTATTTTTTATTTTTCTAGTTGTAGTTGGACACAATACCTTTATTTTATTTATTTTTATGTGGTGCAGAGAATCGAACCCAGGACCTTGCACATGCTAGGCGAGCAATCTACCGCTGAGCCACAACCCTAGCCCCATGATCACTTCTTTTAAAATATGTTTGAATTCAAACTTGTTTCAAAGACTTGACACCATTGCAAATACACAAATACACAATCATGTCCCTGACCTTGATTGATTGCCAACTTTTATTCTTATCAGTTTAGAGTAATGTAATCACTGTTTCCTGGGACTTTAATGGAATTCTGCTCAGTGTTTTCTCATGTTAAAGATAACAGTTGATCTAGAATTTTTACAGATATTTTTACTTACATTGAATAAGTGTTTTCCTTTCTAATTATTAAAAATTTTAAAGATTAGAAATTGGTGTTGAATTTTATCAAATATTTTCTTTGTCAATTACACATTGACCATAATTTCTATACTTTAACCTCCTACTGTGATATATTATATTTAAGTATTATTTAACAATGATATACCTTGCACATCAAGGTGAGTCCAATTTGATTTTGATGTTAGATTTTATTTGCAAAGATTTTATGGAAGATTTTCATCCATAATCCCAAGTCATGTGAACCTAAAACTCTGCCTATTTATAATGTCTTTTGCTGAGCTATTAATCATATAGAGCACACAAGAGGGAGCTGCATTGTCTCGAAGAGTTTTTATAAAACTTGGGTGATCTGGTCTGTTACTTGAAAATTAGGTGGGACTCATCAGAGGAGCCATTTGAGTCTGGTGTTTCATTGTGAAAATAATTTTAACTATTCTTTTTTAATGGAATAATTCAAGCTATCTTTTATTAGTTCTATTAAGATATATTTTTCTAGTATTATGTGCATTTCATTTAATTTTTTAAATTATTCATGCTGATAGTTTTTTTGCAATACACTTCTAACTTATTTAATCTGTTGCTTATGTAATTATGTTCACATTTTCTTTGTTTGCTATTATTTTTGCTAGAGATTCTTCTACTTTTTTCATTTTTTTCAAAGAATTACCTTTGGTAATATTGAGATAATTCTATTGTTTCTGTAGGTTTTTCTATTTAGTTTGTTGTAATCTTTATATGTTCTTAGCAGAGACACCTACCTCATTAATTCTGAGGCTTTTTCTTTTCTAATATAAGATTTTTAGGCTATAAATTTTCCTTATAATTTTTTTCCTATAGACCTCAAGTTCTAATATTTAGATTTTTCAATATAAATAAATTTTAGTAGTGTATATTCTACTTTAACGTCTTTTTTAAAATCGTGAGTTATTTATTAGTACTAATTTTGCTTTGAATTTCCAAACATACAGGAATGTTCATTCATTTTCTCATTAACCTTTAACTGTATCATGGCCAAATATCAGGTTGAAAGACTAAATTTGCTTTGAAAATTTTTTGGATTTGTTTATTTAATATACAATTGATTATTATAATTATCTCATGAGCATGTTATAATCGATACAGAAATCTTTATATGTGGATACGGGATCAAATGTACGAATTCTCTGGCTTTCTTCAGTTTTCTACACTTTTTGTCTGATTTGACAATTGGTTGGTCATTGCCTAATTTTACTCAAGATGTTCCAGGTTTATATCTGATGTACTAGAGCTATCATTCAGAGAACCCACCTATTCCCAGATAAAAAATCTCCATTGGGAAATTCTGGGTTCTGATTGACTATTATGGTTTTTAGACCCCATTGCTAATTCTACCTTATGCTGACAAATTCTTTTACTCTCATAGTGGCAATCAGCATGTTTACATTGAATGTTGAATAAATTAGTTTAAGTCTTAGAGATTTGTTAGCACTGTACTTTGACAGCATATACATTGAGAACTTGTGAACTCAAGTAAAATCAGATCCTAACAGTGTTCTTGGTCGAATGCAAGTAAGCCAAATCTGTATACAAGGTAAACACTTAATGTTAAGTCCTTATTTTTATTTTTAACTTTTAATTTATATCACAGAAATGTAATCATAATACAAAAAAAGTAGCTTTTATATATTGAACATTTACTATGGGCTAAGCACTTTGCACTGTATTCTTATGAAGTTCATTATATAATAATCTAATCATTATTTCTTTGATAGATAAATAAATGGTGGCTCAGACACATAAAATAATTTCCCAAGGTCATGGGTTAGAGAGTTCACAGATGAGAACTGCATCAAGATTGCAGAATTTAAAGTCCATGTTCTTAATGATGGCTGGGTACTTGAATTTTCTTTTTGGATCCAATGATTACAAATAAACTGTACAAGTTCTAAAAGCTGCTGATCTATTGTGTGGATTTGTTTCTTTTTTAAATATACATGTTTAAATTTTTAAATAATATCTTGCTTTGATTTTAATATTTTTATTAAAGTATTTTCATTATATTATGTTCTTTACAGATATTCTTCAAAGGAATATTTACAGAGAAATCTATTAACAATATGTTTTTACATAGAGAACTATAAACAACATTTTTGAAATCTTAACATATCACAATCTTACACTACTTTAAATTCAATATCATATCACAAATGATCAAATTTGATATAGTAAGATACATAGTTTTTTCCATGCAAAGATATATTTTTCCAAAGAAATTTGGTCACTTTATCAAAAAAACAGTAGACTGATTTTAGACATAATGAGTTTTTTAAAAAAATAAATTAAATTACTAACCACTTAGCTTTGGGCTGGGTGTTCCCAGTGCAGGTCTAGGATCTTTCACCAGTATTTTGGAACCAGCTATGAAAACAAACAAGGGTTCAAAAAGTTGCTATAATTAATACACACAAACACATAGTATAACACAATTCTATTGAGATATTACATAATTTTCTCCAAAATGTCCTGTTCATCACAATATCTCACTCATCTTCTCAACACTTTTTGTTTATCTAACAGCCTTAGTAATTATCTCCTTCATAGTTCAGTGGGAAAAGGGGCTGATTGTTGCTGTCTTGTCATCTTGGGATTTTTTTTTTTTTAATTAGACACAAAAACTAATAGAAATAGGTGCTTCTGCCATGGAAGCTGAGGGCTGAAGGTACGCACAAAAGGCAAACATTTTTTTGTGTAAGGTTCACATTTGTGGAATTTTGATGATCATTATTATCCAAAGTACAGGTATGAAGACACAAATTGGTATGAATATACTGTGTATACAACCAGACATATGAAAAATTGTGCTTTATATATGTATTATATTATATTATTTATTATTGTAAAAAAATAAAGAATCAAAATGGTTAAAATAGCTCATGATGTACCAGGTATTGGATAAACACAAAGGTGAAATCTTTTCAGTCAGACCAAAGGCAGCCCAAAACCAAAGAAATCATTTGAGTACTACAGGGGAATGCAAAGTTGTGGGAGCTATAACATGTGTTTTTTGTACAGCACCTATCACAAAACACTGTGATAGCTTTAAGATTAGATTTAGGTGTAGGTGCTTCAGGTGAATATCACTCGGGCTGCAGATGTGGAGAATATTTTGAAGAGAACAAATACTGATATAGCCAGAGAGGTTAAGCAGCTGTTGCAATCGTCCCAGTAGAGATAATCCTAACCTGTATTACCATAGTAGTGTGATAAAACAGCATAAGAAAGCTATTGAAAATGTGGTGGATTTGTTTGGGATAATATCTAGGCAGATTATTACATTTCTAGTGTATAAAATTATATGATGGCTGTATCACTGAGAGAGAATATTAGAAGAAGTCTAGATGGGAAAAGAAAATTTACAAGTTTAGTTTTATATCTATCGAACACTGAAATGTCTGAGAAATTCAAGTAGAGATGTCAAGGAAGTAACTGACTATTTAAGTCTGAAGGCAAAAGAAGGCAAATGAACTAGTGACATTAATTTCTAAATGAATTACATACAAGGGACTAATGAAGCCATTGACTTAAAATGAGATCATCTAGGAGAGAATACAGGATAAAAGAAAAAGATGATGAAGTACTAAACCTTTAGAATATTATGGACAGTACTTTTTACAACAGCTCTAGAAAATGAATACACCTACCCTGAAAAGAGAATGTAAAGAAGGAATAAAGACAAGAAAAATCAGCAATCAGACATTATGGAGAGATTTGAATAATATTTCTATGTTTTGGGATACAGAAGTGTTCACATAATTCCTATTCTCAATGCTGGTCAACTAATATCACTTGTTCTTAAGCTAATGGGAAATAAGTTCCTGTCTCTTTTATCCAAGGAAGGCCTAATAGTATACCTCTTGTGTTAAAAGCTTCTATGGAGAAAACTTACCCTCACAAACAGGAACTTTTCCAGTCCAGGTGTTGTCAGATCTACACACTCTGTGTTCTGTTCCTCCTGCTAAGAAAAAGCCAGGCTGGCAGGTATAAATTAGTGTATACCCATGAGATGGAAGGTCCATTCCTACTACATTTGTGTGAGCAGGAGTTTCTGGTTGTTTACAGCTGTGGGCTATATTAAGAGAAGAGAACAGTGTTAATTTACTACATGCATTCTAAATAAATTTTGAAATGAGTCACAATATAACTTTTAAAATCCTTTAATTACATTATTGAAATATATATTTGATTAGTTATCCTAAAAACCCAAGGAAAATGTATCAATGTGACATACTAATACTCTACTATCTCCTAACAAAATGATCAGGAACACTGGTAGATGACAACAGAGAAAATGAGACAGGAAAAGGAACAAAAGCTTACTATGGCTAATTAAGCTCATAAATGTATACTATATCACCACTTTAGAGAGTCACAATGAATAATAAAGTATATTAAAGGATCTAAATGTCCTATGGTAAGATGCCTTTTAAGTTTTGTCAAGCTCAGGTTTTGCTTACATTTGATTTGCTTGTGCAGTCCTGGGCATTGAATCCAGAGGTGTTCTACCACTGAGCTATATCCCCACATCTTTTTTGTTGTTATTTCCCCTTGAGAGAGGATCTAGCTAAATTGCCCAGGCTTGTCTTGAACTTGCAATCCTCCTGCCTCAGTAGTAGCTGAGAATATAGATCTATACTACTATGACTGACCCTAGAGTCAAGTTGTTTTTCTGTTTTTTTTTTAAGTTTAGAGAATATTATTTTATGATTTTTATGTATTTATATAAATAATAAAAATAGTTTCTAATTATAAATACAAGTATAGCTGATTATATTGCCTTGGTAGTAATACTTACCTATGTAAAAAATACATTTTAACAACTTTTTAATACATGGATCATTCCTGGCCATATTGGGGTTCATATGCTAGAAGTACCTTTTCATTCATTTAACATTTTGTCTCCTTTTTCCATTTTTCTTTCCACTGTAATTCTCTATTTTGAATCCACCATACCTCCCCACAGTTTGCTTGTGTTATAAACACCACTCTTTCTCAATCAGAAATACATTTTTACAAGAAATTTTCCTTCTTACATAGACAGAAGTTTTTAACATATTTTCATGTGTACAGATATCCTTAAGGGTGGTCTCTGAGAAAAGCATTTTGTGGAAAAATTTATTTGGAAAAACAATATTATTTTCCACTTGTTTCCCAACAGAGGTTTATAATGCTATAAATAATAGCTAACAATTTTTGCACCATGTACTAAATATTTTGTTAAATAGTTTATATTTAATGTAATTCAGTTAGTAAAATTACTTTATAATTTAACTACTTTAATACTCATGGAGTAAATATCAATAAGGATAAACAGAGTCTGCCTCTACTGTATTCTTTAGTCCCACATTATGCACATACTAGAAATGTTGAAATGCGAAGCTGTAATAGAAGCTATTAAACTTTATTTAAATTATCATATTCCAAACTTAGGTCATCAAAGAACATTGATTTACTATAAAAAAAAAAACCTAGTATAGGACAGAAAAGCAATTATTCAGAGAATTTCTCCTTTAAGAAATTTTGCCATTTTAGTAAGTATAAGCCAACTAGAGAAATAACATGATGTCTCACTGGAGTGTTATGCTGCTTGTAAGTAAGCTACTGGTCTGGAAGGGTCTTATGATCACTCAGGCAGTCCTGAAAAGGGCTAGAGCAAACTCACAGTGCTTCTCTGGGGCTTAAGCAAATCCTAAAATCTAAATACCTTCCTACTGAGTGTTTCTGCTCCAGCATACTCTATTCTTTTCTCTCAAAAGACACATAATTTAAAAGATTGGAGAGGATTTGAAAAGAGGGAACTGGAAGGAAAGAAGAGAGAAGAAGGTGACCAGTTGAAATATATTTTAAATGTATTATCAGATAAACACTATTTGATGATCTTATTTAATCCATTCAGCAAGTGCTCTCAACTTGAGATCAGTGACCACTGAGAGTATAACAAATCTTGAAATAGTTTTCAAATTTTACAAAGTATCCATGAATACTTTTTTTTTAATTGATGTTTCTAATTTCCTTCAGATTCTCAGAAAATCTTTTTACAGGTGACTAAAAAACTAAGTCGATAGGTTGGAACATCTTGTATTTCAAACAATTTTAGATTGATAAGTACACATGTATGATACCAAAAACTAATCATCACCTATAATTATCAGGTGACTGAAACACAATTTAAAGAGCTATACCAGAAAAAAAAAAGAAAAGAAAGAATGAAGTTCAAAAAAAAATGAAATTCCACTTTATGCCTTCTGATCTCTTTAGAAAGGCTCCTTCCCAATGGACATTGGGTCTTGACATGGTATTAAAATTACATACAAAAAACATAATAATATAAAATCAACTTCACACATTTATTATATGGAAGAAAAATGTATATAAATTGTTACCCATAAGTATTATTTCTCTCAATACTTACGAATGCATTCAGGCTGAATCCCACTCCATGTGAGATCAGGGAGACAAGTGCGGGTTGTAGATCCTTGGAGCAAGTGTCCTTTTTTGCAGTGGAACTGTACAACACTTCCTACCTATAAGCATATTAAAGAGAAAATAACATGTCCCAATGAAATTTCAAACACAGCAACAAAAAAAAAAAAAAAACCCTGCAGGTGAGAAAATACTTTGAGACAAAATTTTGTATGGTTGTGGTAAAAACAAAAATTTGAAATGTGTTTTAAAAGAAAATTGGTAAAATTCATGATTATGTTTACATACCATCATGAAATATTTGAGTACCCAATAAGTACAAGGTGCCAAATTTTTGTTATAAGAATTTGAAGAAAATATATGATATCCAAAGTCCACAAACTACATATAAATAAAAAGATAGACAGCAAAATAGGTAAAGATAAATAAAGATCTGTAAGTTTAAACATAAAAATAACACCATAAGAGGTATATGAATTTTAAAGATGGTGAGTACAAGAAGAGATCAGAGCAAATGTGGTTATTAAGGTTATGGTGATACAGAAGTCATGCAATCTGTACTGTTATGAGAAATTACAATAAATAAATAGAACAGTAGTTTTTTTAAATGTGGTCTCCAGGCCAGTAATGTTATAACTATCAGCCAGAAGTCTATTAGTAATGCAAGTTCTGGGGCATTACCCCAGATTCACTGAATCAGAACCTCTTAGGGTAGAGTCTAACAATCTTATTTAACAAGAGCTTTGTGTGATTTTAACTAACACTAGAATTTGAGAATGACTGAAATAAAACTAGAGAAGTCAAGAATATGATGAGAAAATGTATGGAAGTAAAAATGCATATCATCCATTATAGGAAAAAAAGAGTACAGTTGGTCAGCATGAATGGTTCACAAAGTAAGCAAGGAAGTTGGGGTGGAAGGGGCTGCATAAAGTGGAAAGCAGTGAGATATAGCAAATAATAACCCCAGGGTACTGTAGACTTGGCTTTAATTCTGTATCTGACCTTACTTGAGTCAGTTTATCTCCCCTCTGAGATTTATTCTATTATCTATATATAATGATAGACAAAATAGGATATATAATCCAATTCATTCACCCTGGTATAGGGTATGTTTGTAATAAATTCTAACTGTAATGATGAAGTCAGAGCATACGTAAGAATCAGTATTGAAGGGTCTCAGATGGCAGGCTATGGTATTTAGAAAAATGAAGAGCAGTAATTCTATTGATAATCTTGGCACTACCGTGGGAGGTTTGATTGTATGAAAGCTAAACTAATTCATGGCAGTGAGCCTGGGAAGGAAGTCATCAATTCAGAATATACAATAAGGAAAAATCAACAAGTTTTATTAAATGACTATAAGTGAAGGACAAGGTAAGTGATATTCAGGGTCTGTCACTTCAGACTGCCCCCAGCAAATGCTCAGTAGTTATTTCATGACTTCTCCCTTAGACTCTGTTTTCACCCACTATTATGCACAACTTTAGTCCTGAGCTTCCTAGTTTAAAAAAGTTAAAAACTTATGAGTTTATATTAAAAAATATAAGACTATTTCAATGGAAATATGTTTTTAATAATTCATATTTATAATTTAAGGTAACAAAACACTAGTAACATGTTTACCCAATTACTTACATATTAATTTCAATTATATAGTGGACATTACACATAATTACAAACTGGATATTATTAGGTAATTTTATAGGGTTAAATACCTTACGGCTAAATATCTGAAGTATCAGATTTAAAATATTCCATAACAATACCTTTATGAAACAAAACTCTAAATTCAAATGATGTATATTCCATTGCCTAGAGTTCAATTTAAAGAGTGATACAGTTAATTAAATATGTAGATTTGGCACTTACTCCATAATTAATCTAGATGTTGTATCAATCATTTTGACAGTTATTTCTTCCTAGACTCACTGCTACAACTATTCACTACTAATCTATTTTCAGTCAAAATTATTCCAACTTTTAATATTTTGGGTACAAAAAATGCATTATGTTGAGTACATTTTTCAATTAGAGTTTTCATGGTCTCTAGCAAGAGGTGATATATATTTATGTTAATAATTATATCTATATAAAATCTACTTTGTAAATCTATATAAGCAAAAAGTGAAATTTAAAAAAATGGTTTGAGTGCCCCTATAATTATTAACTTTCTCTTGCCCATACTTGCAGTGTGCTTAACATAGCTATAATTTTACTTCCTTACTACTGGCCACCTGATCAAACCAGGCTGAGTACACACTTGAGACATTCTCACTCTCTCTGAAAAGGTAGAACTAAGATTGTCACAATCACTTTCTCTGTATAGCTGAGATGTACATAGAAAGGATGCTGCCTTGTCCATATGGCCAATCTACAGACATAGAAAATGAGGCAGATAAACTGAATGTAGTGAAAACATTGGCTAATACTATCCAGTACCTAGATTCTGGATTTGCTGTTTCTCACCTGAATTACTTCTCTCTTGGGGATTCAAACATACCTGCACATGATTTATAACACCTTTTAGGCTTAAGCTAGCTCTACATAGATTTTTTAATTGCAAGCAAAAATTTCTCTGAATTTATACCTTTTGCTTATGAGACCAATGAAACCATATTCATTTGGAATCCACCAATAAATTGTTATTAGTTAGAATTACATACATTTTTAATTCGTGTTGGTTCGATACACATTTAGTTAACATATGTAGTATGTACAAATTTATATATACACCAAAAACATGCATGTAAGAAAGCTGATATCTCCAATTTAACATACTTGGTATATTTTTAATTTTAATAGACATTGATATAATTATAATAAATTAGACTTTATCATATTTGTAATCTAGTCTATTTGTATTTATCTAGGTAGAATCTAATGTTCTAGTAAATATTTGTTAGCCTAAATAATATATATTCAGGGTTAGGTTAAATGGTAATAAAACCTTTCAATGATTATGTAATAAAATTTTTAAAATGGAGAGTTAATTATTTTTTTCAATTTTTTGGCTAATTCTTCTAAAATCATTCATTTCCATTTCCATTATCTCAAATAATATGAGAAAGGGCTTATATTTTTCAGAAAACAGCCTGATTTCATGCATAGACATTAATAGTAAGATTCTATGTTCTCCCAAGATATTGTCACTAACTTGCTCTGTGATCAAAGCAAAGTCACATTCTCTTTCATTTTCATGCCTATATGATGAGAACTCATGTGTGTAGCTAGTTGTTCATTTTTCAGGATTTAGATCAATTGATAAAAACCTTTTATGGAGATATGGCTTTCTAAAAACACTGATATAACACAGACTAAGACATGTTTTTGCCCTTTTGTATTATCTGGACCAGACTGAGGCAAACCAGAAGAATTGGAAACACTATAAAATCAATGCTCACACTGTGCCTGAACTGTAGATAAATGAAAACTATTTTTAGCAACAAAATATGGCACTTTAGATGAGCCCTTCCTTTAGAAATGGATGTTCTTCAGGTTCACACTGAATTTCACTCAAAATAGCACAATTTAGAAAACTCTGCAACACAAAGCAATTGGGTAATGTGTAAATTGGCTATTTCCTTTTGGAATCTGTATGCACTTTGGCTCCCTTTAGACCTGTGTAACAGAAAACTTGCTGAATCTCTACATAAAATCTAAATTGGAAAAAGAAAAAACAAGTAAGTCATCATCCTCACATTACTGGGCATGCTAGAGTATTCTAATACAACAATCCGACTTTGTGTTGTATAGTAATAGGGTATGATTAAAATATTTTCCAGAAATTTTCCACATCAATGTCAATGTCTAAAAAATATTTTAGTCTTATATGCAATAATTGTTTTATTAAATAACCATATCTATACATTTACTATTGTCCCAGAAGTCTCTCCTTTAACCTCTTTCCTTTTTTTTTAACCTTTCCGCTCTGTCTCTCCACAGAATTTACTCATTTAGTCCTTCACTTATTCTTGCTAATTATCCCTTCCATACTGTCTTGCTTATGGATTTTCTAATACTTGCTGCTATCTTTACTTTGTTTTCATTCTATCCTCTTATTCATTCAGCCTTTTCTTTTTTTTTTTTATTTTTTTATTTTGTGGCCCTCGGTGTCTAATCCAGTTCCTCACCCATGCTAAGTAAGTGCTCTTCCACTGAGCCGTATCCTTAGCACTCAACATACTTTTTTGAAGCAGCTTTCCTTCTTCCTGATTTCCTTAACTCCCACTCTCTTGTTGCAGATTGCCTTTTTCAAGTATTCATGAATGCAGATAAGCATGACACTTTCTTTTTGTGTCATCAAGATTATAAGCACCTGAAGCAAAGAAGCCTTTCTACCTAGTTTTATTCTTAAATGGAAATATCTATTTTAAGTACCCACTTGAAATCCAAACGTATTGTTCTGAGATCCATGCCGTGGCACTCCTGGGTTTTCACATGAGGTACGAGTGGGTTCTAAAGTGAAGATTAAAAACATAATATTCCTTTAAAACTTATAATAGATACATTTCTCTCATACAAAACAATTTTAAGTCATCTGGGGTTTAATGAAAGTATCCTGAATAATAAAAAGAATATAAATCTAATAGCACTTCTCCATGGACATAATCCTGCTAATGTTAAAGCAAGAAATTCAGGTAGACTGCATTTGGCATTTATTATGTAATATTTGAACTTTGAACCCTTCTAATATTAAAAGCACTTGACACTCAACTAACCCTGGAGATACAAAGTTAAGGGAAATAAAGGTTATGAAAGAAGTACATGTGCATAAAACATTTCCTCAAGGACTTTGCTAAGTTACGATTTCAGATAGAGAAATATTTTTTCTGAAAAAGTAAGTTATTTAAAGAAGCAGGATTTAGTAATTTGCACTTAACTGACATCTGTAGGATTCAGTTATAAGAATGGTAGAGCAGGTAGTCTCTCAGCTGCTTTGCATGACAGCTTATTTGGTTAGTATACTAAATGTGCCATTAAATGTTACAATTACAAAAATGTATTTACAGTCATTTTGAAATCCATATCTTTTGGATATTTTTGGAGCAAGTTTCATTTTGTATTAATATGCATAATTAGCTATAAATATCTAAATAATTCATAGTATTTAATAATGCCATTATTCTGAAAATTTTTTATTTTCATTTTACTGATATACAGCAAAATTACTTCAGTCTTTCTCTGGAAGTTTAAAGTGCTAAAAATAATAACATGTTCTACCAATATTCATTTTTAGAGTCTTCTAATTGCTTCTATATTTTGTTTTTCATATTTTTTCATATTTAACTAAATGTAGATTTTAAAGAAAACCATAAATTATAACCATTTTCTATTAGTACCAAAATTAGTAAGCATAGACGCCTTTAATGAATGTTACCTATACAGTGCGGTGATGAGCCACTCCACGTGCCATCGGCTTGACATATCCTGGTGCTTGATCCCACTAGTATGAAAGGAGAATTGCAGCTGAATGAAACCTCTGACTGGTATATAAAGCTTTTGCCTTCTCGTTTTCCTTGGGAAGGTATACCAGGGTCACCACAAAACTTGGCTAGAAGTTAAAATAAAGATATTTACAGCAAAACTTTAGAGTCAGGAGAATAAACAGTTTATAAAAATGATGACAACTCACAGAAATACTGCACGAGGGGGGCATATTGTCCATAATAATCTATCCTAATTAAAGGGATAGATCTACATAAATGCATTCTGAATGAAAAACTCAGTATAATATTTAAATAATTGTATTCATATATTTTTCTAGCATACTGCCTTCATAAATACTTTGTATCCTTGTTTTACATTGATGAGAATCAAATCATATATCTGTACTTATATTCTGGAAAGTTGGAGAATACTGAAAAGGTATGACTCTAGATAGCTGTGTCACACCACAATGTTCCAGCTTGCTATTTACAACTATCCTTTTTTTTTCAAATTGGGGATTGAATTCAGGAGCTCTTTACTACTGAAATATATTCCACATCCCTTTCTACTTTTTTATTTTGATACAGGGTCTCACTAAGATGCTTAGAGCCTCACTAAATTGCCCAGGTTGGCCTTGAACTTGTAAACTTTCCATTGTCCTGCAGTTGCTGGGATTTAGGACATGAGCCACTACTTTCAGCTTACAACCACCCTTTCACACATATCTATAAAAGATATGATTATTTTTTGTACTCTGAACACTTGAATCCCATATCCAAATATCCTGTTCCATTCCTCTTCAAAGTAAAGCTGAATATTTTTGAGAGAAATGAAGGCCATCAAAGTCCAAATTTATATGGAATTAAGAAATATCAGTGGTCTACAACAACTACTCTAATAATGTAGTGTTTATTAGTCTAAACAAATAGACTACATGATTTCATTTACAATCTATTTATTACCTGCTAAAGACAAATACTGTTTTCAGTGGGTTTAGGCATTTGGACATATCAGTAAACAAAGAGTAAATAATCCTTTCCCTTATAGAGCTTAAAGTGAAACTAACAATAAACACATAAATAAGTTAAGAAAGAAAGGTAGTATGTGGGAAGACAATAAGCTCTATAAGAAAAAAAAAATAGTTCAAGAGAAACCTGTCATGTCGGTATGTGTGTGCATAGTGGGTAGCAAGAAGTAAAGATAAATGTCCCATAAACTGGCAAAAAGGTATCTCACTAGAAAAGATAGGAAGGAAACAGTGTTCAGCCATGCTGATTCTCCAAGGGAGCATTGCATAGGGAAGAAACTAATGCCAAAGCTCTGTGCTAGGGCATATCCAACAAGCTGGACAAAGAATAAGGAAGCCAATATGATTGGACCAGCATGAGCCTGCAGAAGTGTAGTAGCATATAAGATCAAATCATTTAAGATCTAGTATATAACCCAGGCAAATATACCTACATCAAATGCTTTCAATTCCTTTATTGTGGTCACACTGCACAATGTATGCTTTGTTATTTTATCTATTTTGAAATATCCTCAATTTTTAAATGTGCAGATTCAGCACCTAAAAACTTATTTCTCTGTGAAGCAAAGAAAACAACCATATATTTTTCAGAGTAAGTGTTGCCTTAGGATTATTGTAGGCTGGACAGTGTGAAAGGGTCTCTAACTGGACAGGCTACCTGACAGGAAAACAAGAAAAAATTAGGGATCCCAGGTCAACTGGTGTACATGCCTACCTTCACCATAGAATACCTTATTTTGGGGCTCACTATTCAAAGAACCTTCTCTGAAGTATTCTAAGATAAACCTACACTTTCAAATCTCTTTTCTAACAACTTTTTTAAAATTAAAAAGAAAAGTAATTGGGCTGGGGCTGGGGCTGTGGCTCAGTGGCAGAGTACCTGCCTAGCATGTGTGAGGCACTGGTTTCGATCTTCAACACCACATACAAAAATAAATAAAATAAAGACACGCTGTCCACCTACAACTACAAGAAAAATTTTAAAAATGAAAATTAAAAAAAAATGAAAGTAATCATTGAATATATATGAAAACAAAACAAATTTTTCCAGAGTAAAGTAATACAGGTAAAATAATACAAACATTGGTTTATTGTGTTTTCTTTTAATTTTCACCATCGTTCAGGATATTATAAACTTTGCTGCATTCAAGCACTCTGGCAGCATAATCTCAATCCTGAAGGTTAGGAAACTTGTTTTATTAAATTTCATACATCTAGCATATTTTGAATTTGATGCATGCTTTCTCAGTGAATTTCATCAATGAGCATTTCAGCTTGGGCAATCATTTCTATCATTAAGTTATTTAATGGCCTACTTCTGAAGTGTTTCTCTTGCATATTTCTATTGAGTCATTCATCTCAGTATCTTATTTTTGTGCAATAAGAAAGAGAGGAGGGAGAGACAGCCATAAAACTCAATTCTCCCCACTGTGTTATTCCCTCAGTTTTCTACCTAGGGATTTTCATTTAAGTAAACCAAAGACTACTGATGTTGGGTTAACATCTAAGTAGGGTCTAACTGTCTACAACCCATGCTACAATAATTTATGTGTAACATAAATGTGATTTTTGTTTTGCTTTACATTCTTACAAATTAATCCTGAAATAATGCTTTGGGGGTATACAGTAATCTCTCTAAAAATAATGATCTGTAATTTCTATGCTTACCCTGTTAATTTTAGATGTACAAAAACAATCATCATCATGAGAACTTAATGTGAATGAACATGTAAAAGTGGCATAGGTTTATTGTGAAAATAGATTTGTGGATAGAAATTAAAAAGTAATCAAATGAGATAAATTGGATATAAATAAGAATCATTTTGCAGAAATAATCTAAGAGGGTCTGTGGGGAAATTTTGAAAAACATATTTTGAAAAGTTTATCAAAACAGTTAAGCCTAAGATATGAGGACAGACCAGAAAGAATACAATAAGCATAAAAAGAGTATATAAAGAGTAGCTATGCTGGAAAATACTGACTTTTTAAATTTGAGTTTTAACTAAGCATTGGAGGGAGCTTAACAACCTCATATCTGTTCTGGTAAATTTGAAAATTTGTCACTTTAACACATCATCATAATATGGAAATTATACTTACGTAAGCACTGAGGTACTTCTCCACTCCAGGTACCATTCCCTACACAGGTCAAAACAGCAGGAAAGGAAAGTTCATATCCTGGAGAACAGATGTAGCTAATACTGAAGCCCCAGTCAAAATTTGTTCCTTCCAGTCTTCCATTAGAGATCTGTGGTGGAGTTGGGCAGGTAACAGCTGCAATTACATTAAAAGTGATTAAGACACAGCTGTTGAAATATCCTGAGTGTAAAAACAATAAATAAATATAATTAGAGGAAGCATATGTGCTAATTTAACCTTTTGGAGGACAATGCTATGTGACATGTTTTATTCTCCTAGTAGTATTCCTGAAACATCCCTGAAATTAATCCCTACAAGATGCTACTTTTTCTTGGCAAGATAATGGCTACTGGTTGTCAGAGATTCTTTTACAAAATAGCAAGCTTCCTGCCAGTTAAGGAAAGGCTATATACTACTACAACTGATAAATTATTGGTTTTATATAAAATTATTTTTCAAGACTTTTAGGCTAAAGAGCTTGGTGGTTTGGCTATATATGTTATCAGCATTGTAACTAAGGAATTTAGAAATAGTTATGTATCAGTTGGGAAAGTAAAGATCACGTGTCTATTATAATAGTCGAATTGATTCCCATAACCACTTAGGTTCCTATGCTAAAACCTATTATAGAATTTATAAATGCATTGCTAAATTTTTAAAAATTTATTTGGTTTAAATTGTTTTAAGTTGTCCTCAAACAAAAGCAGGTTGATTAAGGTAGCAGAAATGAAAGGGATAGGAGAGGTACCAATTTCAAGGCCTAAAAATGAGAATGATAGTATTATGATGAATAGCAACATAGATAAATAAGTTTTAAAGTTTATTAACAATGCAATTGCCAGTGTGGATTAATGAATGTATAACTTATAAACTTGTCTGTTCATATATTTTTAATATACTAACTGTATATTTATAGTGATCCAATTCAGAAAGTGTATAATCCAGAAAAATGTCAAGCACATCGAAACTATTATTATTTCAAACTATTAATTCATAGACATGTACAAACATACATGAATTATAAAATTCAACCATTATAAAACAATACAAATTGACACTGCATTCACAAATAATCATAAAAATTGGTGGAACTATTAGGAAAACATTTCCAGTGGATGAAATAAACAGCATATAGTAGCAAATCTAAATCCATATAGACAGAAAATAAATAATTAAATTTTGCATTCTTTGAAGAAACAAGTGCTCCCTTTTCTTAGAAGAATTACAGTTCTATAACTCAGACTAGCTGTTCCTAAATTAGAGAAAGTTTTTTTTCCCCCATCTTTAAATGACTTGACACAAAGTGGCTTATTGGTTTACCAAATTAGTTATAATTCATTAAAGTTACATTCTTTGCAAAATATTCACCAATAAATATAAGTAATAATGGTGATTATATATCAAAGTACATTCTATTTGTGTTTTTTTTGTTGCATTCATTGTTCCCACTTACAATAAGATATAATGCTTTTTTTTTCAAAATATCATTGTTAAATCCTGTATATTGCAATAGGCTTTTAAAGAAAAATGTATACATCATTTCTTAGTACCATGAAAAAGAATGAAACTGAAAATTAAAAAAAAAAAAACTGAATGTACTTTAAATTTTCATATAAAAATTAAGGAAATATGTGGTGGTTACCACTTGAAAATGTTGATAAAATAATCATCATACCTCTACAAGTTGGCATTATTCCACTCCATGTGCCATTAGTAGTACAAGTCCTGACTCTGGAACCATTTAATTCCATTGTATAGCCTGGCTGGCACATGTAAGAAACATTTTGTCCAACCACATAATCATCACCATATCTCAATCCATTGGCTGGTATGCCTGGGTCTCCACAACTGATAACTATCAGTATTGAATTAGAAGAACAGATGGTTAATGTGCATGTATTTAATGAAGAGAAGCAGTAAGCATATGGTACACTTAATACATAAGCAGGGGAAATTAGTTATCATTTTCATTTTTAACCATAAAACATAAGCATATTTAAACTACATACTTGCAGTTCTTGATTATGATCAGGTATGCTTATTAAAAATTCTATACACATAGTTCAGAAACTATCACTTAGAACCTTAAAAGTCTAAGTGAATTAGGGAATTCCAATGCAGTAACCCTTTTTAACCTGCATTATATGACCTCAGAAAAACCATCTTATGGAATCAGATTTCTAACATAGTATCTGAAATTTTTACTCCTACATGTGCCTTGCTGTACTAAGAGCATGTTTTCCCCACAGCATCACTCAATTGGATATAGCAATAGATTTTAATCAAAACAATGCTAAGACAAAAGAAATATTTTTGAATGAATATAAAATGTGAAATGATTACACATAGGGTAGTATGCCTGATTTGTACACTCAGTGGGCTCAAATTTTTAAAAAGAAAACTTTACTCATCTGGGGTAAATCAATTTCCCATTTCTAACAAATAATTATCAAACCAAGCAGAAGGCAACCCTCAAAAAATTGCAACCTCTACCCTAAAATGTACTTGCTACCTGAACTTGGATGGGTTTGAGGTCTTCCAATCCAAATTCTTCACCAATATTCCATAGTATTATCAACCTAATACAGGGATATTTCTGCCCTCAAGCACACCATGCATATACCATCTAACCCTCCACACTTGCAATCAACCCCCACTGGAAGGTAAGGACAACAAAGAAGTGTGAACCTCTCTCTACTAATGACACAATCAATCAGCAGTGTTAAAAGCATTGATGGTCCCAGAGCAAGAATGAGAATAGGGAGGCCAAACAGGGTCAGGGCTACCAGGCTGTGAGGAGCCAAAGCCTAGGACCTAGCTAAGGAATACTGGGAGGCAGAGTGCTCATTCCAAGTTCTCAGCACATGTTCCATTGTCCCATTGGAATTCAGTTATAAAACACAAATTCAAAGATAAAACTATTAAGAATTTAGGATGGCCATTAAAGAGCATTAGTTTCTAAATACAGTTTCTAGCATGGGATGATTATCAACTGCACTGATTTTTATACCCAAGTGTCACTGCATGTATAATATAATGACTTATTTATGACACTACCTAAAAACTTTCAAAAGATTTGAGAAAATCTTAGAAAATACAAATAACACAAAATTCTATTTTAAAATGAAATATATCAAAGATTATGAATAAGTTACAAAAGTGCTAACTTTTTTGAGGCAAAAATTTTGAGTAAGATTTGGTCAACAAATTGGGTAAAAGTTTTCAGGCAGCTAAGAAAAAGCAAAATACAAGTTATGGTTTTTATTTTCTGAAGATTAAAAACAATGCAATAGGCTTGCCTTTTAATCTACCAAGTCTTTTTATTCTTAAAGGGTAAGTAATTTTCCCAGGTAAACTTGGATTATTATTTCTCCCTCTCTTTCTCCCTCCCCTCCTCTCCTCTCCTCTCCTCTCCTCTTCTCTCTCTCTGCCATTCTCTCTCTCTCTTTATCTCTCCACATCTTTCTTAAATTAACATTTCTCAATATTTTGGAGGTCCAAGTCAGACTGAGACAGTCAGTGTAGTTAATTAATGATTGGGTCAGGAAGATAGGGGTTTATTCAAAAGGAAATACAATGCTAATACCTCCAGAGCACTTCCCTCTCCTCAAACTTGTTGCCAAGGTTACCTGCCTCCAGGGAATTGTTTCTCTCCGCAAGGAGTTGTTCATGAATACTCCCTGGGTAGCTCCTTTCCTGCCTTTTCTGCCAGATATAAAAAAAAACAGGGAGAGGTAAACCCTGAACAGTTCTCTTATCACCCTTTTGGTCACCAGGTAGGCAAGATAAGAAGAGGAGGGGAAACAAGAAGAAATTAAACCTAAAACCTATAAAAGGGACAGGATACCCCCACTCCCTCAGGGCACCAGCTCTGGACACCCTCCTCTCTAGAGGAGTCTCTCTCTCTCTCTTGTCTTGACATTTCCCAGGTGTTCAATCTTCAACACCAGGGGAACTGGACATGATTCTGATTTTCAAGACTAGTTTCACAAGGTTAAGGACTAAGAACAGGTTAAGGCATGGAAAACCATAATATGGGACTTCAACTGAATTGTATTTATTATTTTGTATTAAGATTCATCAATAACTAAAAAAAAATTTAAAAAGATTTATGAATAGCAATATTTTTTCATATTATTCTTACCTGTTGAGCCCAGGAAGTTTTACAATTATGAGTAACAGCATTTAAATTAAAGAATGATATTAAGGATACTCAATCTTATAATTTTTGGAGCCCACAAGACAGTTTATTGAAATAAAACTTTTGAGTCTTTCTATCTTACTTCTATTTAGACTTTTGTATACAGAAAGATTTTTATTCCTATGATTATGGATGAGTAAAAATATTTTTAATGATACAACTGAAATAGATAAGAAATTAAATAATCATATTCTTTACTAAAAATGATATTTCTTTCTTGCAGTTTCAAAATTTATAACCATGTGAAAATGATTATACACTTTCACTTTTTATTTTTTTATTAAAAATTTATTTTTTGGGCTGGGGATGTGGCTCAAGTGGTAGCGCACTTGCCTGGCATGTGTGGGGCACTGGGTTCGATCCTCAGCACCACATAAAAATAAAAAAAATAAAAAGATGTTGTGTCCACCGAAAACAAATATTGAAAAAAAAATTTTCTCTCTCTCTCTCTCTCTCTCCTCTCTCTCTCTTTCAAAAAAAAACTTATTTTAAGTCATCTTATATTTTTTGACCATTATTACTAATTAAGAAGAGCAATTGACAACATCTATAAATGGTTATTTTCTAGACAGTGCTTTTAGAGATTGAATTTGAATCTTGGCAAGAAGAAACAGCCAATCCATTTGTAGGGCACATGAGCTGAGATGCATCCACCAGAAAGGACAGAGGGTTTATTTTATACATTCACTAAGAAAGAGTTGTGCATATTGTGTCAGCATAATGAATGAAATGTCAGACAATAAAAGCTTCAGAAGGATTTGTTTGGTGACTTCCTAATGAAGCAAAGGCCAATCAAAGAGACAGTTTCCAATAGCAACAGTTTTTGTAAACAGCACCTGCTCTGCAAGTCAGTTCTTTCACTACCAGCTTGTTTTCAGCAACCAAAAAAGGCTTTGGGGTTTTTTTTCAGGAAAAACCTTAGATTAGTAGCTCTTTAGGGTTTCACCCCAAAATTTAGAGACATCAGTTCTGTGGTTCATTTCAAGAATATCTTCAAAAATTATCATAATCCTTAAATGTACAACACACACACACACACACACACACCAACAAATTCCATGAAGCTGTTTTTTCTTCTATGTTGTGTAATCAGAACCTAATCTAGTGCATGACTCATGATTAGAGATTAAATACTTATTTAAAGAATAAATATGAAAATAGTATATGAAGAAATGATAAATTGTCAGCTCAAATTGTAATATATATATACAAATTGTTTTAATGGTTTGAATTTGTTTTTGTTTTTTGGTACTGGGGATTAAACCCAGGTGTGCTTTACCAATGAGTTACATCCCCGGTCCTTTTTATTTTGAGATATGGTCTCTCTAAATTTAGTAGGGCTTTGCTGTTTTTCTAAGGCTGGACTCAAACTTGAGATCCTCCTGCTTCAGACTTCAGAGTCACTGGAATTACAGGTGTGCACCTCTGCTCCCCATTGAATATGTTTTGTGGGAGGTTTCTCATTACTCTATTTTGTAATTGATATTTATTTGTGATAAATATAAATCAATAAACTAAAATGAAACAATTGTAATTCCAAATGATTTTTATCACTTCAAAACTATTCTTCCTTTTAAATTCTTATGTGAACAATATAAATGTGCATTTTAAAATAAAGTAACATAATTTCTTCCAGAGTTTTCTTAAATAATTCATTTTTAACTTAATATCTAATGGACACTTTTGTACCTTAACAGGTAGATCCATGTAATGTATTTTTAATTGTATAATATCTCATGTAGATACACATGCAATCTAAAATATGTAAACAAACTCCCATGGACTAATATTTGAATGATTTCATATTTTCCTTTTATAAACAATGCAACAATGTACATGCTTGCTGGCCCATGCTTTACACATGTGCATTGTCAGGCTTCTACCTTCAAGACCAGAAGAATTCTACTGTAGGAGCATGAAGTTCTAGAAAGATGAAACACACAATAGTTCTGAATTTGTATAATCTCCCAAATCAGAAGTTTATTTTCTTTTTACATTCCCAAAAGGTTGGATTTTTCAAACTTAACTTTGGCACTATTTTTAACATTTAGAGCGAACTGATTCTTGGGGTTTTGGTGCATTGTAGGATTTTCAGCAGTATCCCTGATATCTACCTACTAGATTCTAATAGCAACCCACAACCTTGTACTGTGTCTTTTGGAAATATATCCAGATATTGCCAAATGTCCTGGGAAGCAAAATGGGCCCTGGTTGAGAGCTGCTGAAGAGCCAAAGATTCATGTTTAGCTTCACTGCACCCAGTTTCATGATTGATATCTCTAGCACCCCCTGTGTAAGAGTAGTCCCATCCTCAGACCTATTGTGTGTAAGAAAAATTCTTTGAGAATTCTCAGATTTGTGACAGTAAGAGGCATTTCCATGCTGGTCTGGAACAAAAGGTTGAAATTCCTATATCAATAAACTTGATTAAATATATTTTCCTGGTTCAAATGAATAAGACCTGCCAGATGCAGAATGTTGAGCATTGGACATTTTGGAAGCAAAAATCCTAGTTGGAAAAGAGAGAGAGAGAGAGAGAGAGAGAGAGAGAGAGAGAGAGAGTTGGTTAGCTACCCTTGGGGAAAAAAAGAAGAAAGAAGGAAGGAAGGAAGGAAGGAAGGAAGGAAGGAAGGAAGGAGAAAAATCATCCAAGCAAACCAATGAGCATATATCATTTTAGTCATGAAAGTTAACCCTTACTCCACTTGACAAGCCCCGTCCTGGCACAGGCTGTGATTTCTTCCTAAAATGTTGTGTACATTGTACACTGTGGGCTCTAAGCACCAGACATGGTCCTGCCTGGTAACCATGGAAAGGTAAGAAAACCTGTATGACTAACATCCTATTTTTTGTGCTGACAAGGAAAAAATAAAGGGGGGGGGGGTGAATTAATATTTATTTGTAGTAAGTTTGAGATCTTGTCTCTCAATCTGAACATCACAGAAAATAACTTCAGCAAATTTTAAAATGAGGGTACTGTTTTGAGCTACCTGACATTATGATATATATCCCTTTCTTCCAGCTTGGCTTAGTTCTGGGAATGTTATTCAACATTTATAATTTCTCTGCTAACTTGTGCATTATTCTTGAATGGGTGATTTTGTTTTAGTAATAGAATCTTTTATCCACCTAGAGAAAACTAGTTATTTTGAGAAAGCCTCTCACTCAATATTGAAAGTGGGTTTAACAAGAATCTCACAACAGTTACAGGATGAGTGCTGGGAAAAGGCAGGAAGTTTTCCTTGTAAGGCCAACTTCTAGAGACAGAATCATTGAAAGGGCAATTTCTCAACTCTGCCAGCATCCAAGATAGATGAATAATGCAGGTAGAATTTTCTTTCTTTCTTTCTTTTTTTAAACCAACATCTCTACTACTAGGCATGGGGAATTGAGTACACTTTTATTATTAAATTATATATTTACAAAATATTTCCAAAATTCAAGTGGACAGGAAATATCATAGCTAACATATCTACACATGTGACTGGAATGGGGCTTTTAAAAAATCAGTGTGTGTGTGAGTGTGTGTGTTTGTGTGTGTGTATGTTTGTGTGTGTGTGTGTTGCTGCTGGACAATCAAACAAATGGCTTTGTAAAGTATAAAACACATATGTATAAACTCACAAATATTTTCAAGTAAATAATTATTTTTAAATATAAAAAAAATAAAACATACTTGTACAGTTAGGCAAAACTCCAGACCATGTTCCATTGGCTGTGCACTGTCTAACTGAAGGTCCAGAAAGGATATATCCCTCCATGCAGGAATAAATGACTGAACTGGAAAATGTTGTGCCATCAATTCTAAAGACTTTCCCATTGGCTGTTGTTCCTGGGTTGCCACACTGTATAGCTGTAAAGAAAAGAGATTAAGAATTACAAAAACTAATGCAATTAGAAATCCTTTCCAAAAGAGTTAATGCCTAAATAATCCTTTAAAATTATTCAAAGAAGCAGAATAATTTAAATTTAAATAATTTAAATAATTAAAATTCTCCAAAATAAGCAGAAAACTATCTTTTTTAGGTAGTCAAAATTCAAGATGAACTTTTGTTGATTTTATTAGCTTAATTACTGGGATTCAAATCATAATAACACATGTTTTTTCAACTTCTGTTAGAAGCTTCAGTAAATATTTTAAAATTAAAGCAATTACTTGCAGAGTATTGTCTTCAGGTATCACAAAATCTTTCAGAGAAGGATTTTAAGAGTCTGCCTAAAAAGATTTTCATGTAAAATTGAGAGATATGTAAAAATAAGATACAATATTAATTATATTTATACTTAGAGGGCAAATAAAAATACAATTTAAAATATAACTGATTTGCTTTAAAAAGTTATAATCTTTATTTACGTGCCAAGAAGTATAAAAAAATAAACTGAGAAAAACATAAAGTAACTGAATTCTAATAGTTTATATTAAGTTTTCAATATATCCTAACAGTAACATTATATGTAAATGCCTATCAGTAATTAACTATTTTATAATATGTTTAAATATCTGCCATCAAAACCAAGTGAATTTTAAAAGTTTCTTAAAAGCAATCCTATAGCAAATGTAATATTAAATTTTGTTGTAATATCAGAAGGCATTTTAATACTTTAAGAATTTAAGGCTATCTTTAGCATATAAAGCAGGATTATAATTTCAGAAAGTGTCATATATATCCCTTGCTTCATCTCAAATATTCATCTTTCCTGTCACTGACAGTGGTGCTTGGTATATGTGTATGTATGCACAGATAAGGACCTTCATGTTTCACATACAAATACAAAAATTCAAACTCTAGACGTCATTTTCAGCAAAATCTGTGATATAGCAGTCATTTTAACTTATCAAGCATAATCATGCTTTTCCAAGATGAAACTCTTGTCATATATATTTGTCATGTATAATTAACCTTGACACAAAGGAAGAAGTATTTGTTTAATTATCATTCTTTTTTGAAAATGTCATGTGGTTTACTCTTTGAAATAGGGAGCCAGGCCAAGTCACATTTCTGCACAGGAAAACCAAGAACTCTTTAGTCATGGTAGTATCAGGTCATAGTCAAATCATACTTTCATTTCTACTTTCCCATCTTTAATTTCCCCACACCTAATATACAAATTTCTCTTATCCAAAATGTTTTTTTAATAAACATAAACTAAATTAAGTAAGATGAAAAAGATAAGTGCAAATATTTATGATCAGGAAAGACTGGAAGCTTGTTGGAAACAAAGAAAAGAAGCAGCAAGTACTTTGCCTCTGTTAGATTGACATTTGGGGAAAGAGTACTTTTTTGTTTTCTGTGAGTAATGCTGTAATTATATTCAGCACTAGCTGACAAAACCATCCTTCCTTTTAAGAGTCATTTCCTAGTAGTCAATTGACCTTAAAAAAAGTGACAGTTGATATTTATTGACCACTTACAATAAATGTGACAACCCCAACTCTTCCAGTATTATTTAATTCTCACAACAATGATATGAGTTAGTACTAATATCAACACCATTCCTTGCTAGAGAACTGAGGCCCAGAGAGGCTAGGTAACTTGTCCAATGTCATACAGCTATTAATGGAAGATCATTCATCCAGTATAGATTCTTACCAATGATTCTGTTAATATATATAAAACCACGGGATCATATTCAAGCTAATGACAAGCATAAACATGTTTGCCAATTGGATATTTGTTGCATCAGATGCTTTATATAAAGTATATTTTAAATGTTTAATTTTCTTTTGTTACTAGAGACCACTTTTTGTTTTTAAGGAACTAAATAATTAAAAAATAATAATACATAGCCATTTCTAATACATCCAAAAATAAATGAAAATATAAGGAATAAAAAGAGTCCCTTACAGAAAGAATCCTGATCAAATGCTTATATATGCATAAATGTGTATATATGTTAATATAAATATGTATTGATTTTAACATTTATTTCAACATTGGGTTAGGCATAGTACACAATAGTGAAGTACCACCATTTTAAATGTATAATCATACCATGCATGGTATTCTATAGCTGCATACCTTATTTTTCTTTCTTAACACTATAATTAGTGCATCTTCTATCACAAAGTTTAGTAACAGTGTGATTTTCCATGTGTGTATATTCATACTTTACCCAATCTCCTATTGATAAACATTAAATTTCATTTAATTCTCTCTTGCTTTTCTATCAGTTTGGCTATACAATAATCTAGCATATCCATAACTCTACGTTGATCTTGTTTCTAAGATAAACATCTGATAGTAGAATCACTGGCTCATTTAAAAATTTTTACAAAATACTTTAAAATTGTTTAAGTATATTGCTGTAGAGTCATCAAAAATATTATAATATGCCACTTGTAACAGTATAATATTTTTTTATTTTCACACATCTTACAAAATACCATTTGTTACCATTTTTATAAAATGGTCATTTTGTCATGCTGTTTTCTTTAAGTTAACACTTCTCTATTCATGAATTAAGTCATTTTAATGCCATTTAAAATTTTTATTTTTATATGAACTTTACCATTCATATGCTTTTATATTTTATTATAAATTAGAGTAACATAATACTACAAAATATTTGAAATAAAGAATAAAAATAGTACTAGTTTCATAAATCTGTTATATGATTATTTTGTGTAATTCTCTTCATAATTTCCCTCATGAATAATATTTTCCATTATTCTAACAAAATATATAATTCTAATCTTATTATTTATTAACATTTATATGATATACATTTTCTCATATTGCCTCAGAGACTGTATTTTAATATTTTTTGATTATGCACTATTAAAATATGTACATATACAATTATTTATATAATATTTTCCTAGATTAGAATTATGAATAATTAGAAATAATAAATTGCTATTTCATGATTTTATACTTTCTTTACTAATATTAATTTTTTAGGGAGAATTCCTCAGAAGTGGAATGATAAATCAAACTATAGATTATTCTATTACTATTTATGTATTTAAAAAAATGTTCTCAAAATGTAATAATAAAATCATCCTGAATGGGAAAAAACACACCACTCACATGGATCATGTAAACAAGCAGGGGTTTCTATCTTCATATCAGATAAAGTGGACTTCAAACCAAAGTCTGTCAAAAGGGCATTTCATACTGCTTAAGGGAATCATACATCAACATGACATAACAATCATAAACATTTATGCCCCAAACAATGGAGCATCTACATATATCAAACAAACACTTCTAAATTTCAGGAATCAAATAGACCACAACAAAATAATGCTGGGTGACTTTAACATACCTCTCTCACCACTAGATAGATCTTCCAAACAAAAACTAAAAGAAAAAACTATAGACCTCAATAATGCAGTCAATAATTTAGACTTAACCGACATATATAGAATATTTCATCTATTGATGAGTGAATACACTTTTTTTTCTCAGCAGCACATGGATCCTTTTCTAAAAGAGATCATATGTTATGCCACAAAGCAAGTCTTAACAAAACAAAACAAAACAAAACAAAAAAACAGAGATATTACCCTGAATTATATCAGACCATAATGGAATGAAATTAGAAATCAATGATAAAATAAAAAACAGAAGCTACTCCAACACCTGGAGAGTAAAGAACACCCTACTGAATGATGTATGAATAAGAAGACATCAAGGATGCGATTTAAAAACAAAAATTCATAAGGGTAAATGAGAACTCCAATACAACATGTCAAAATCTCTGGGACACTATGAAGGCAGTGTAATTAATTAAAATAATTTAAATCAGAGCTGAAATCAATGAAATTGAAACAACAGAAACAACTGAAAAAATTGACAAAAATAAAAATTTGGTTTTTTGAAAAAATAAATAAAATTGATAAACCCTTGGCCACCCTAAGAAAAGAGAGAGAGAAGACACAAATTATTAAAATTTATGATGAAAAAGGAAATATCACAACAGACACTACTGAAATACAGAAAATAATTAGAAACTATTTTGAAAAATTATACTCCAGTAAAATAGAAAATCCAAAAGAGGGCTGGGGCTATGGCTCAGTGGTAGAGCACTTACCTGGCACATGTAAGATATTGGGTTCGATCCTCAGCACCAAATAAAAATAAAATAAAGATATTGTGTCCATCTACAACTAATATATACAGAAATGTATATATATGTGTGTGTCTGTGTGTGTAAAAGAATGTCCCAAAGACACCAACAAAGTTTTAGAGACATATGATCTGCCCAAACTAAATCAGGAAGACAAAAAATTTAAACAGATCAATTTCAAGGAAGGAAATAGAAGACTCCATCAAAAGCCTACCAACCAAGAAAAACCCAGGACTAGATGGATTCTCAGCTGAGTTCTACAAGACCTTCAGAGAAGAATTAATACCAATGTTCCTCAAATTTTTCCATGAAATAGAAAAGAAGGGAACCTTTCCAAACTCATTCTACAAAGTTAGTATCACCCTCATTCCAAAGCCAGAGAAAGACTCAACAAGGAAACAAAACTTCACACCAATATACCTGATGAACATAGACACAAAAATTCTCAATAAAATTCTGGCAAATCTCATATAAAAACATATATAAAAGATAGTGCACCATGATCAAGTTGTGTTCATCCCAGGGATGCAAAGTTGGTTCAACACATGGAAATCAATAAATGTAATTCACCACTTTAATAGACTCCTATGCTCTTGGATAGGCAAAATTAATGTTGTCAAAATGGCCATACTACCAAAAGCAGTATACAGAGTCAATGTGATACCAACTAAAATCCCAACATCAGAGCTCATAGAAATAGAAAAAGTAATTATGAAACTCATTTGGAAAAATAAGAGACTCAGAATAACCAAAGCAATCCTTAGCAAGAAGAATTTTTTGTGAAGCAGGAGGCATCACAATATCAGACCTTAAACTATACTCCAGAGTCACAGTAAAAAAAAAAAAATGGCATGGTATTGACACCAAAACAGACATGTAGACCAATAGCACAGAATAGAAGACACAGAGACAAACCACATAAATACAGTTATTTCATATTAGACAAAGGAGCCAAAAACATATATTGGAGAAAAAATAGCCTCATCAAATGGTGCCAGGAAAACTGAAAATCCATACGCAACAAAACAAATTTAAACCCCTCTCTCTCACCATGCACAAAACTCAACTCAAAGTGGATCAAGGACCTAGGAATTGAACCAGAGACCCTACACCTAATAGAAAAAAAAAAAAAGTAGGCCCAAATCTTCATCATGGCAGATTAGGCCCCACCTTCCTTAATAAGTTAAGACTCCTTTAGCACAAGAAATAAAATCAAGAATCAATAAATGGGATGGATTCAAATTCTAAAGCTTCTTCTCAGCAAAGAAACAATCAATGATGTAAAGAGATAGTCTACATTTTGGGAGCAAATTTTTGCCACACACACATCAGATAGAGCACTAATCTCCAGGATATATAAACAAGTCAAAAAAACTTAGCACCCCAAAACCAAAATAACCCAATCAATAAATGGGCTGAGGAATTGAACAGATACTTTGAAGAAAATGATATATAATCGATCAACAAATATGTGAAAAAAAAATGTTCAACATCCTTAGTAATTAGAGAATTGCAAATCAAAACTACTCTAACATTTCATTTCATTCCAGTCAGAATGGCATTTATCAAGAATACAAGAAACAATAAGTGTTGGCGAGGATGTGGGGGTAGGAGGCACACTCATACATTGCTGGAAGGACTGAAAATTGTTGCAATCAATGTGGAAAATAGTATGGAAATTCCTTAAAAACTTGGAATGGAAACACCTTTTGACCTAGCTATTCCACTCCTTAGTCTATACTCAAAGGACTTAAAACCAGCATACTACAGTGATGCAGCCACCTCATGTTTATAGCAGCACAATTCACAATAGCCAAACTATGGAACTAACCTAAATGACCTTCAGTAGACGAATGAATAAAGGAACTGTGATTTTATTTATACACACACACACACACACACACACAATATTACTCAGCAATAAAAGAGAATAAGATTATGGCATTTGCAGGTAAATGAATGAAGCTGGAAAATATCATGCTAAGCAAAATAAACTAATCTCAAAAATCCAAAGGCCAAATGTTTCCTCTGATAAGTGGGTGCTAATCTATAATGAGGAGGGCATAGGATGAGTGGAGGAAGTTTGTATTGGGCAAAAGGTAGAGGGAAGAGAGGAGGGGACATGGGGATAGGAAAGATGGTTGAAGGAGACGAACTTCATTACCCTAGGTACATGTATGATTGCATAAATAGTGTGACCCTAATTTATGAACAACCAGAGAAGTGAAAAATTGTGCCTCATTTGTGTACAATGAACCAAAAAATATTCTGCTGTCATGTATAACTGATTAGAACAAATAATTTTTAAAAATTTAGAAAAAGTTAAAAAAACATCCTGCTATGTTTTAAAGTTTTAGTTTTACTGCACCCACCAGAATTTCACATTTCCATTTTAAGAATAAGTGGGAATTTTGTCATGATGATTAATCATAATTTTCTCATTAGTGGTTCTGTGTATTTTTTTCTATAGCTTAATATTTTTTCTTTTATGTATTTTTGCTCATGTACTTTGTTGGTTCATCTACTAAAATCTGTTTTCTTAAATGAAATGTATGAAGTCTGTTTATGTGATAAATATTAAATGTTATACTGCTATGGCTTATAGTTTTACTAGTAATCATAATGCACATGTCAACAAAACATCAGAATAGCAATCTGCATTTCAAGTTTAAAGTATTTTATAGAACAGCATTGAAAAGTACTGACTTAGGCTCTGTGCAGTGGCACATGCCTGTAATCCTAGCAGCTCAGGAGGCTGAGGCAGGAGGATTTTGAATTAAAAGTTAGTCTCAGCAAAAGCAAGGTGCTAAGCAACTCAGTGAGACCCTGTGTCTAAATCAAATAAAAAATAGGGCTGGGGATGTGGCTCAGTGGTTGAGTGTCCCTTAGTTTAATCCCCAGTACCAAAAAAAAAAAAAAAAGTACTGACTTAAATATCACTCATACATAATGTAATTAGGAGATATAATGACTACATCATTGTAATCTGCCTTCAGAAAATAATTTTGAGAAATAAAGTGAATAGTTTAGCATACTTAACTATATTTTTCTCAGCAACTACATTCTCCAACTTCTCTCCCTGAATCAATTTAATTGCAACTCTCACGATTATCAGAATTCATCTAGTTAAAAAAGATAACTATGTTTCCAAGAATATATATAATAATTTTTAAAATAATGAAAAATATTTTTTATAATTCAGTCAATCAAAAAACTCAAGAATGTTCTAATGGGAAATATTTCCTATTTGCACACCAATAAGTTTAATATAAGTAAAATCACAAGGGTAATTTTCCAAGATTTCATTTTGTAGTCAATCTTGTAAACTTCTAAAAACTTAGAAGGTAAAACAGATACTCAGGTAACTTTCATGTAAAAACCACCTATTTTTCCCTACTGCGTATACTTACATGAAGTAAAAATAAACCCTTTTAACAAATATTTGTTTTATTTTTACAATCTAAATGTTTTTTATGTTGTGAATAATGTTTGTATGTAAATGAGTGATGAAAATAATGTAATTTTTGGAATTAAAGGGTGCTATCTCTAAAACTAAAAATACTATTGTTTTTATTTTGTAATTGAGGGCAGGGAAATACAAGTAATTTTATTAGTAGTATTCAATTGAATTTGGATACATGTTAAATTTCAGAACTCACAGTATACTCCTTTTCTGCTTGAGATTACCTTTGCATTCTGGCTGCCTTCCAGTCCAACTACCATTGGCTAAACATGTTCTTTCTTCTGAGCCATGAAGCGTATAACCAGTATCACAAGCAAAACGTACAGTACTTTTAGTTCTGAAATCACTTTCCTGTCTTGAACCATGACCAGGAGTCCCCGGATCCCCACAAGTACCAGTGGCATCACCTGCAATGCAGTAAAGTTCAAGTTAATTTATCTCAATAAACATTTACATTTTTTAATGTTTAATAAATTTTTAACATTTAGGCCAATAGTCTAGAAGGCATTTGTTTTTGTGAATGTTGTGTTTGAACATGATAACTTGACATAGTAATAATTTCTATTTCCCAACTGACTAAGGTCATATAAAGAAAAAACATAGGTGAAAAAGAAAATTGTTGCAGAGTATGGTATTATTTTCTTTATCAGTGATATTTGAAGACCTTAAATAGGTTACAGACATTTCATTAGTAATTCCTGAACCTAGTAAATAACCAACCTAATGGAAAATTTATAGCTGACAGTCCTATAGATTCAAATAACAGTGAACTTATAAAACTAACATTAAAAACTGGATTCAGTAATTTACATTTTCCTTCTCTGTATTTAGTAAGTACTGATAATATTTTTGCAGTTCATCTAGCACTGTGGTGTCTTCTAGGGAACATAAATATTATGGTACAGTTCTTTCTATTGGCTAAAATTTATCCCCCTAATTTTCACTACCTAGGATGAATAAACTGCACATTTCTCATATATTGATAATAAAAATAAATTCTATATGTAACCCAAAATTAGAAACTGCTGGGGCTGGGGATGTGGCTCAGCAGTAGAGCGCTGGCCTAGCGTGTGCAAGACACTGGGTTCGATCCTCAGCACCCCATAAAAAAATAAAATAAAGGTGTTGTGTCCAACTACAACTAAAAGTATATATATTATAGCAATTTAAGCAGTTTATTATATATATAATAAACTGCTTAAATTGCTAGTAATTATTTTGTTAATGACTGGACATGAATTTTAAAAATTTTCATGTTAAGAATTTACTATCTACTCAATATCTTAAGAATTTATTCAGTGCTTTGCTCACTTCCTAAATAATTCTAGTCAAAATGTCTTACTACATATCCAGAGAGACAGACAGACAGAGAGAACGAATGAGCAGTGAATACAAAAGTATTGAAAATGTTATTTTTCGAGATGTCTGTTTGACATGGTCTGTGTATTTGGTGTCTTTAAATTTCTTTATTTTCATGTGATGTAATATTAATAAACACACAAAATTGTATGATCAGCATTTCACTTTCAAATATCTATGCATAATTTGTTATTTTTTTTTACACTTTGGTAGCCCATAATGAATTATCTGAGAATTAACATCACAATGAGTTTCTTAGACTTTAAGTCTCATGAAAATTAGTTTTATTAAACATAATTTTTAAATATGTAGATTAATTTGAAGTCCTAGGCAATCACTTCATAGAAATTAACCACTAGTTGTAAGATCTGTACACCAACTAACCAAGTCACAATTTTAATATCTAAAGGGAGTATAATGTAAGACAACTACTGATGAGTTATCAGAATGATCTCCCCATGAATAAATAAAATTATATAGACAATGTACAATATATAAGTAAAAAAAGGCAGAAAAATAATCAAAATATCTATATAATGAATAAAGGGAATTCAACTTTTTTGAAAAAAAGCAGTACGTAAAACATCTTAGAAAAGATTAGTCAAATACTCTGTGAAGAGATTATAAAATTAAAAAGCTTTACTATTCTTTCATTTGAAGATGGTGACTGAGGTTGTATGAGCTCAATATCTGTACATTTCCCCAAAATACAGAAAGTTAGGATAGTTTTCAGAAGGCTTATTAGGTTCATTTAATTTAAATTCCTTAAAAATTTATTTTTAAATTATTCCATTAAGTAATCAATTGTAAAAGTAGAAAAGAACTGAACTATGACAAGAAACCACAATAAAACATTGGCTTCTGAGGAAAGTTGTACTTGATGTCTGCTAAGTGGAACAGCTACTTTAGCATGAGAAGTTTCATCATTTTTATGAACAAAAGCACTTTATAAAGTGTAGCATCTGAAAACCTCATAATTCTTTACATCAGGCACAAAACAGTTCAAATCACACACATGTAATTTATTATCTGGAAGATTGGTGTTAATTTGCCTCTAAATTTACATAATGTTAGAAATATTCCAATATACATATAAGCAATGTTTCAGCTTATCTCACGAAATTTTAAGAGAAATGTACTATGTCTTCAGATTGTTTTATACATGCATATTATATATACATGTTATATATATATTATATATATGTTTATATATACATATTATATATATAAAACAATCTGAAGACATACTACATATATTATTAATACATATATTATATGTTGTATATTACATATTATATATGTTTATATATACATATTATATATATATAAAACAACCTATATATGTATGCATATATGTATATATATGTGTATGTATATGTATATACACACACACATATTTGTCACCATCATCATAATGTAATTTTTGACACAGATCATCCAATTTTCCCAGTGGTACCTGAACAATGAGGTTGTGATCCACTCCAATGGCCATTTAACTGGCAAGTCCTTGACGACTGGCCTAGAAGGAAATGCTTTCCTGTGCAGGAATAGTGAACAGTAGACCCAAATGTATACTTCTCGCCAGACAGGACAGCATTAGGAGGAACGCCAGGGTGTCCACAGTCAATCACTACAATACATAATTATTGGATATAAAATTTTTTTATATCTCCTATCGAACAACCTGAATCAACTCGTTTATAAAATAATTCAGGAGCAAATTTTTTCTACTCAAACATCAAAATCTACAGAAACAAACCTCTACCTCTGTGAAACCTGGCTATTTAAATATAAAATGGAATTCTCAGTTATGAGAGCTACTGTGTTAACCCAGTCATCCTAAGTAGGAGTTTAAAAGAATCTTATAAAGTAAGCAAGCATAAAAATGTTTGAGGGGTTAATACAAGTATGAATTTACAGGTGATGAATGCATGCCTGAGTGCATATGTGCACGTATTTGAGGTGTGTTTTCCCCTGGACAAGGAGGCAAACGTTCGGGAGAGGAGTGATGTAGATTGCTAAATAAGGATATAGAAAGCCCTATAGAATTCAAAATGAGCCCAAACAGAGATTAAAATAGAAGTATTTTTGAGAGTAAAGGAGATGGAGTAAAGACAGATCTGTGAACCACAATCTAACTTATAGTTTAGAATCATTTCATTCCAAGAATGCTGTACAAAGAAAACATTCAGTGGCATGTCATCTAAAATTCTGTTTGGCATAGCAAAATCTGAAGTCAACAGATGGTGGAATATTCCTTACAAGCTAGAGGTTGCTTGGGAAATTAATGTATGTCCTTGCTAACTGGGCTTGGAAAAACATACAGTGCCATATATATCTGGAGTATCAAACAGCACTTAAGGAGGCATAAATGTAATAATACATTTGAGCACTTAGTACACGGGTAGAAAGTGGTATACAAAATTAAAATGCAAAAAGTGTATGAGAGATAAGAGGTTTACATGTCCTACAAAACAAAAGTGATATGTAGCTATACAAGAACAAGTAAGAGAATTATTTAAACAATTAGACTACTTTGTCAAAGTCAAATTTACTGAATTATTTACACAGAATCTGAAATTTTACAGACATAGCAAAAAGTTTTGTTTTTTCATTAGTATATGAGCATTCTTATAAATTTTCATAAAAGTCCATCTGATTAATATAAAGGAAATGTCTCAATATAATACATGAACAAAGTATAATTTTATAATTGAACACTTTAGTATAATCAAAAATAACATGCACAATGATTGCCTGACACAGTAGTCCTTCCTTCTATAAAACTTCCATTCCCTGTCATGTCTAACTTTTACCATGTCTTTCAATTGAGATCTGTCAATTGACTGCATCCTTAGAATTTCCTTTCACTTCTGTCTTTATGAAATTTTGATTCACTTCTCCTAATTTGTTTTTCTCAGTTTACATGTGAATTACATGCCTTTCTGTTACAATTTATTTTACTCATATTCTACAACTCCTAATATAACATTTAACTAAAAGTGCTCAATGTTAACTGACTTTAAAAATGTGTATATTAAGAATTATTGAAGGGGGCTGGGGATATAGCTCAGTTGATAGAGTGATGCACAAGGCCATGGGTTCAATCCCCAGCATCACAAAAAAAAAAAAAAAAGAATTATTGCATTTAATGTGTGCCTCTATCTGATAGATATTTAAGATCAATAAATTTCAAGCAACACCTCAAGTATTCTGAAACACTGATGGCTACTTAACTTTAAGACATATTTTGCCTTGGATGAAATTTGAGATATTAATATAAAAATGCAATTGCTTCCTAAGATAATAATAACATCAAGTATCAAAGATACTGATTTTTCACATTCTACCTGCTCTATTAAAACTCAAAATAAAACAAATATTTGTCACATTAATATAAAGAAAGGTGACATTTGGGCATTGAATTGTAAGAATAGGTGGAAGTGTAATTTCAAAACAGTGGAATAAAGCAATTTGTTTTCCTCTGATATACAGTTCTAACTATCGCTTCTCGGCCTTTTGGCTAAGATCAAGTGTACAGTTCTAACTATTTTACAAACAATGAACTTCCATATTGCATTCATGGCATTTTCTCAAGGAACAATTCATATTATCTACTTACTGATACATTCTGGTAAAGGTTTGTCCCACTGTCCATTTGGCTGACATATCAAAACTGAAGATCCAAATAAAAAATATCCTGGATTGCAGTCATAGAATACTACAGTGCCATAGGTGAAATTTCCATGTTCTATTTTACTTTCTCTTTTGGAATTGGCTGGAATTCCAGGATCAGAACAGTTGACCACTAAACAAATGACAAATTTTTAAAGAATATTTTGGAATTATCTACTACATAAATTTCTATTAAGAACTTAGAAGCAGTTTCAGAGGTAAATTAATCAAATAAAAAAAGACTCCAAAAAAATTAATTTATGAATTACTAACATAATGGATTGAAATCTGTGTGCTTGAAATATAAAAAGAGAAAAAATTTCTGACAAATTTATTTGAGTAATAGAAAACTTATAAGAATTATGCTGAGAGTAGATATAAACAATGATATATTTTAAGCTATTGTTGAATTTCAGGAAATAAAACATATAGAGAATGATAATTATATTCACTTTATCAGATAATACGATGTCTTTCACACTGCCTTGCAAAGTAGGAACTTACTAAAAAAAAAAGTATCTTTAATCTGTTTCTATATAGAAATCAACAAATAAAGCCTCCATTCCCGTGTCATGGTAATTCAGGCCCCCAAATTTGTTTTTACAAACATATGCCAGAATTAAGTTCCATTAATTATTAAGCAAGTTGCAAATAAAAAGTTCTTAAAGACTGCTTATATGCAAACACAAATAGGTATAAAATAGTAAAGCTGAGCAGAATTATAATTTTCTCATTTTAACTTTCAAAATTTAAGAAGAGGAAAACATTGCTAATGAGATGGCATCAATATTAAAGCTTTTTGCTCTAGTTGGAAAGTTTATACTGTGCTGCCAAGTTGTTTCGGATATGTCATCTATGTTTACATAGACACACTAACACCATGTCCCCACACTGGAATAAATTTAGCCTTTTACCTTTGCACACAGGTGGAGGATGGCTCCATTGTCTGTTGGCCTGGCACTGGGCTTTTGTTGGTCCTTGCATAAGATAACCAATATTGCAAGAGAACGTTACCACATCATTAAAGTTAAATCCATTTCCACTTGTTCTTCCATATATTGGACTACCAGGGTGACCACAGCTAACAGCTAATACCATTGGCGATGGGGGATTGGGGATGGAAAAAAACAGAAGAACATTTAGTTATTAATTATCACATCACAATTATGCTTAGTCATTTCAAGTAGAGTAGAAAGATCACCTTATATGTGGATATATATTTAAAGTACTACAATATAAAGAAAATGGAAATAAATAAAATAAAACAGAAATAGTAGAAATAATATTAGTAAGAAGAAATATGATATTAGAAAGTAGAAAATGATTTAAAATTATGACAATTTTCTTTAAGTGGTACATAGATGTTAAAAGTTTCATGGTGCTTAGTTTATTCTTTCTAATTTTTTTTTAAGGAAGAATACTGAAGTTCAAAGAAATCCGAGGAATGACTGAAGCTTCAGTAACTAGTTAACAACAATGTGGAATAAAACTGAATGAGTTTTCCTTTTTGCATTAAGTTTAAGAACTGAAGGTACTTAAAGACATATTTTTTATTTAATTTTGAAATAGACCTTTTAATAGTTTTTAGACAATCAATTTTTATGAGTAATATATTGATACATGAAAATGTGCTTTAAAAGTAAATTAATGTAACTACGTAATGTGGACTGCAAAAAATGATGCATGATGTTGCACCAGAATTCTCATTAATATTTTGAGATACTGATATTAATATTCTCCAAAGCAATCAATCTTACTGGTTTATTTTCATCATCATTGATATTTGACAATTTAATACAATTTTGCTTGGAAATAAGGTTATCAAATGAATTATTTAGATCCTTTTAATGTTATGGTCCCACTATAAATTTTATATAGTGCTGGCTTTCCCCAAACACTCCATATCTCTATGAACCGTTTTATTGCATAATCTCACTCTATTAATCATAGCAAGTCCTGGAATACTGCTTCATAATTGGGAACAGTGAAAGAGCATAGTCACCTTTAGTACTTTCAAAATGACCCAAGAGCAATTATTTTTCAGCTGTATTGTTAATGTCAACCTACTCATTTGGAAATTTAACTGCATCTTATTCTTGTTTAAAATTATCAATAAAGAAACCAGTTTTACCCAAAGGGCCAATTCTATTTTAAAGTCTCAATTATTCGATAAGAAAAACAGTGATAAGAGTTGTCTATGTTGAATACAAATGTAAAGTAAAAAATCTAGGCCATATCCAAGCAGAATATTTCTGTCTTTAAATCATCTATCAGTGGTGGGTGTATGTGTATGTGTGTGTCTGAGAAAAGTGACTTTACTTATTAACTATATGCTCTAGTATCTTATTATCTCAACACAAAAAAGAATTTTCCATGAAATTAGTATTCTAAAAAATTTCAGCTAATCAGATAAAATTAAAAATGATGAAATTTATAAATGTTAGTCATTAATTAAATAAAATACTTCCTCTGAGCCCTCATTAAAAGTATATATTATTTCACTGAGGCTTACCCTATGATGTTATAATTAAAATATTTTACAATTTTATTTTACTGTCACAAGACTCTTACTATAAATGTCAATAACTGGAAATAGAAATTGTTAGGAAACAAGAAATACATGGATAATTGATTTTAATAACAAAATAAGGATAAATTATTGTCTGGAGCATTGTGTACATTTGAGAATAAGTGAAGTAAGTGAATGGAATGGAGTTATCCTTATTCAATCACTTTTTTTATTTTTGTAAAAAAAGCATTCATAATAAATACACAACGCTCTAGAGCCAGCATGCTTTACTTATCCACTCAATAGCAAACTGCATTCCATGAGAGTATTTTATTCCAATGTTCTCACTTCTAGAGAGAGTTTGGACAAGTAAATATGACTGGTAACATTCAAATTTCCAGCAAACTATTCTGCATTTTTCTTTGGAAATATAGAATACATGGCACTGGAAGTTGTACAAACACTGGAGGCTGGTTAGAAGGCCTGTATTGGTAAAAGCAAGAACAAGTTCAGCAAATACCCACTTTGTACTGTATGTACAAAGGCAGTCTTGACTTAGAACTTATCCTTGATAGGGTCAGATAAGATGATGAGTGAATGCCCAGGGATTAGAGGTATGGCCCAGCATGCATGAGGACCTGGGTTTGATCACCAGCACCACAAAAAGAAAAAAAGAATAGAAGGAGACATAAAAATGTTCTGTTTAGTATAAAGCCCTTTGGGGGGTATGTGACCCATTGCTCTGGTAGGAGCTATGAAGGAGACTCAGGTTAGTGGTCAACAAATGGCATTAGTTTTTACCAAATAGAGAGATTTGCCCTCAGATTACCATCAAATTCAATTAATTTGGGTTTATCTCATTCATGGTTAGTGAGAACATGAACAAATATGGTGAGGGCAACTCTTAAATGCATTAAGATGTCTACATATAAAAGACTGTAGATGTGACCCTATTACTGACATCCTGACAATCACACCACCACTTTCTCTCTCATACTTTGGTCCCCTCCTATGTGACTTATTCATGCCCCAAATATCTTCCTTTATTCTGTGTGAGGAGTACTCAAGCACTCCAAACATAAAAATAATAATAGCAAGTAAATAGAAGAATGGATAAAACCATACCATAGGTATAGGAAGAAATTCATTAAAATCACCAAGAACAATAGGTATCTTTAAGTAGTTATTATGAAATAGTGCTTTCTGCAAAATAATTTTATGTATCAGTTAGCATCTAAATCAACTTAAAAGATCACATACATATTTGTTGAAATGCCAGGATCTTTCATTAAAATAATTCTAAAAGTACACATAGTCATAGTTTTGTATGAAGTCTACAATAATAGAAACATTGCCTTTGAAATAAACTTTTAAATTATTTTTTAAAATATTTCAAACAATAATTTATGAGAAAACACTACTTTGATACATTAAAAATGATAGATTCTGAAGCTAAAAGGTACCATAATGATAAACACTTTTAACTATTTATTTTCTTTATAAAGGAATTAGAGTCCAGAAAGATTAAATAACTTGTTTACTTAAAAAATTAGCAATGAAACTGAAATGAGAACAATAGTTTTTCATGTTATCTTATTTTTTCTCACTAATTGTACTTCACCAGGATATAATTTGATGTGATATCTACTGCACATGTATGTCCTATTAAAAAACATTAATGAGAAATACTTTTAACTATCAAAAGCTTTGTAGTATAATAAGAATGTTGATACTCTTGCATAGGGTTATCAAAAACTTTAAATTTTTATAATTGAAAATTTGTTGAGGATATATTTTCCTTCCATTAATAAGTATTCATTTATATATGTTATATATTAAATACTAAGGAGCTGAGTTTAATTTTGTCTTTATGTGAAAACACAAATATAACAGATATACTAATACTTTCTTCCACTTTACTTTTGGATGGTTATATATGCTCTGAAATGTCCACTTTAAGGACTTATAAAACAGTACAAGAGAATGGATTGTAGAAATTCACTTTATATTATTTGTATAACAAATAATTATATAAATAACTATCTTGCCTACTAAAAAAAAAAATTGGTCATTCTATGAGACCAGAGGTCTCTCATTGCTTTTGGCATGCTTACTTACGCACACAGGATGGGAGCTGACCAGACCAATTGTGATCTTGTTGACATATCCTCACTGAAGAACCAATCAACCGAAAACCAGGATTACATTGATATACAACTGTGTCTCTGTATCCATAATTTTCCCCAATGACTTGACCATTCACAATGAGTTCTGGAATTCCACAGTGACCCGCTATAAAGAATCAAAAAGAACTATTTTTATACTGTGTTCTTTGTATGTTTATGTACATATATTGTTTAACTAAATTTTAATGTTTACTTAGAAGTATGTCATAAATAATTCAAACATAATTATGTAGCATACAGGTAATGATAAGATATATAGCAAAACATTAGGTTTTTGGAAATTAAAGGAAAATACACTTTGACTGACATGTATCCAGAAGATATTATAAACTGTATCAATCTTTAAAAATGAAAACAGAACATATCAAAATTTGAGGTATGTAGATAAAGCAGTGCTTAGCAAGAAAATTTGTAGGTATAGATTTCTTATTATAAAGGGGATCCAAGATGACAAATTAGCATGAGGCAGCATTTTTCCTAGCTCAGTACCCAGAACTCATGCAGCAGGAATACCACGTTTCTCTGAGGCTTAGAGTGAAAAATTCTGAGACAGTCTGCCCTCACCTAACCAGAGACTGTTGGCCTCATTAATTGGATATTTAAAAAAAAAAAAAAAAAAAACCTGCTCCACCAGAGTTTATCAGTCCTTTGTGGAGAGCCAACCCAGGAGCCATTTTAGGATTGCAACCATTGTGGAGTCTTCAGAAACTGGAAACCAACTTCCATGAGTTTGCATCTAGGTCTGTGTGGGCTTGTCTGAACTTAGTTAACCTGTAGAAAGTCAGAATCTGGGAGCATTTCAACCAGGGGAACACAGGTTAGAGAGGCTCAAGAGAGTTGGGTTCTCCCTAGATCCTTGAGCCTGGGGACTTGTAGGGACTGACAGGAAAGGCTATATTGGGTCCGAAGGTTGGAAGAGAGGGTATGAGGGCATTTTGCTGTCAGCTAGCTCAGCTAGCCAGTCCCTCACCCACAATGTATCTCTAAGCATTTTTTTTTTAATTTCATCCCTGATTTCTTCTATTATCCATTGGTCATTCAATAGAATATTATTTAAGTGTTAGAAAATCGTCTATTTTTTTTTTAATTTTAGCATTGATTTATAATTTAATTCCATTTTGGTCTGATAGAATGCAAGGTATTATCTCTATTTTTTTTTTGTATTTACTAAGACTTGTTTTGTGGCCTAAGATATGGTCTCTTTAGAGAAGGATTCATATACTGTTGAGAAGAGAGTGTATTTACTCCTTGATGGATGGTTCTGGGAAAACTGGAAATCCATATGTAGTAGATTGAAATTGAACCCCTATATCTCACCCTGAACAAAACTCAACTCACAGTAGATCAAGGACCTTAGCATTAGACCAGAGACCCTGTGCCTACTAGAAGAAAAAGTAAACCCAACTCTCCATCATTATCAGCTCAGAAATGAACTTCCTGAATAAGACTCTTAAAGCACAGGAAGTAAAATCAAGAATCAATAAATGGGATGGATTCAAGCTAAAAAGCTTCTTCTCAGCAAAGGAAACAATCATAAATGTGAAGAAAGAGCCCACATAATGGGAGAAAACCTTTACCACATGCACCTCAGACACAGCATTAATCTCCAGGATATATAAAGAGCTCAAGAAACAAATAACCTAATCAATAAATGGGCTAAGGAACTGAACAGATACTTCACAGAAGAAGAAATAAATCAATCAACAAATATATGAAAAAAATGCTCAACATCTCTAGAAATTAGAAAAATGCAAATCAAAACTATTCTAAGATTTCATCTTACTCCAATTAGAATGACAATTATCAAAAATACAAGTAACAATAAATCTTGGCAAGGGTGTGGGGGAAAAGGTTCACTCATACATTACTGGTGGGATTGCAAATTGGTACATCCACTCCGGAAAGCAGTATGGAGATTCCTAAGAAAACTTAGAATGGAATCACCATTTGACTCAGTTATCCCACTCTTTTATATGTATTCAAAGGACTTAAAATCAGCACACTATAGTGGCACAGCCACATTAATGTTTATAGGAACTCAAATCACAATACCCAAGCTATGGAACCAACCTAGGTACCCTTCAACAGATGAATGGATAAAGAAAATGTGGTATGTATACATAGTGAAATATTACTCAGCTATAAAGAAGAATAAAATTAAGGCATTTGCCAATAAATGGATTAAATTGGAGAATATCATGCTAAGTGAAATAGGCCAATCTCAAAAAGTGAAAGGTAGGATGTTCTCACTGATATATGGATGGTAACCTATAACAAGGGAGACTAGGAAGGAGAAGTATGGAAGTTCAGCGGATTACACAAAGTGGAATAAAGGGAGGGAGGGAAGATGGGAGTAAATACAGTATATGAATTAGGCATAACTTTTCTATGCTCACATATTAAGTCATGACCAGTGTAACTCCACATTATACTCAACCATAAGAATGGAATTAAAAATGTAATGTGTTGCACTCCATGTTTTTATAATATGTCAAAATACACCCTATTGTCATCTAAAAACAACAAATTAAAAAATTTTCAAAAAATTCTTAATTATTATCAGGTTGACTTAATTTGAGTTTGAAAGTTATCAGCTTCTGTATTTTTAATATATGAATATTTTATTAGTGTATTTTAGTTACACAAAATACTGAGTTTCATTGTGAAAAAAAAATTCTTATTATAAACAAATAAAGCTATATAAAAATCCACCTAAAATTCCACCTTAAAAAAAGGAGAGGAGCAAAATAAAGAAGGTAAAATAAGCCACACTAAGTAGACAAGAGAAAATATTTAAAACACAGAAATCAAAGAAATAGAAAATTAAACAAACAACAGAAAACATTAACTAGGGTAAAAATTGTTTCCTTTAAAATAGTCCAAAATTGTTAAACTCCTAACCAACTTTAACTACACACAAAAAGGAGAGAACAAATTTACCAGAAACAGGACTGAATGAAGTGATATCTCTATTAAGGCCTAGAAAATTAAAATGAGGAAATATTGAAATAGCTTTCTGCTAATATATTTTGATAGTTCAGAAAAAGGACAATTTCCTTACAAATTATAATTTACCAAAAATAACATGAGACAAAATAGAAAATATGAATAGTTCAAATAGTTTTTTTTCTTATTAATGTGTTAGAATTACTAAACAAAAAAAAAATCCCCACGTAAAACACTGGTAAATTAAAATATTTAAGAAAGAAAAAATATCTCTGGCAACTTGATATTTTTAAGGAAGAAAAAAATCAATTTTATAAAAACTTTTTTTTGGGAAAATATATATACATACATATGTATTTGTTTTGAGGCATCCATAGCACTAATAGAAATTTTTTAAAAAGTTTCCTTTCTTTGATAAACTAACTGTAAAACATGAAATTTGCAGGACTTACATACTTGATATCAAATGCTATTATGAAATTCTTAAAAAATAGACAGTGCCAAACATCATACTAGGAAAAAAAACCTCAATCCTACCATATAAAATATACAACAACAAAAAAAATGAAAGCTAAATCATATGCATTCTGGAACTATAAGTTTCCAGAAGAAAATGTGATAGAAAATCCTTGTGACTACGGTTGAGCAAAGTTTTCCTAAACAGAACCTAGAAAGCAAGAGCCAAAGGAAAACAAACAAAAAAACCAAGACAGACTTTACCAAAGTTGAAAACTCCTGCTCACTGAAACACACTATTTAAAAATGAATAAGAAAGTCACAGACTGAGAGAAAATACTCATTAAACATGTAATGATAAAAGTCTTTCAACTAGAATTTGCTAAGTACTATAATTCAATACTTACTTCACCATATTCCCAAAGAGAAATTCATGACTAGCTAATAAGTTCAGGAAACTACATTACACATCAGAAGACATCAAACAATACATCATAAAAATACATGCTGATAGAATATGAGAAAACCAGACCTCTCCCTCTGAGTATCAAACAAAAATGAATGCATATGTTAACAGAAAGACTTTCATAGGAATGTTTATAGCAATTTTATTCATAATACCCTAAAGCTGGACAGTGTCCAGGTGTTCACCAACAAAATAATATCTCAAGGATATTATATGCATATAAATAAATTCTATTTGGCAATAAAATAGCAAAGTATAAAAACAACAACATAGATGAAAGAAAATGAAAGAACCTTACACAAAATAGCACATAATTCAGGATTCCATGATATTTGTAGAATAGGAAAAATTAATATGTGGTGATAAAATATCAGAAAAATTATTGCCTCAGGTTGAGGGGGGAAGTAAGTTGGAGATTGTGGAGCATTACAAAGAAACTTTTTAAAAAAAATTTAAATTCTATATAGTGGTTTAGTTATAGAGGTGAACACAGTTGTAAAAATTCATCTAACCATGAATTTATAATATACCTATTTTACTGTATGTAAATTTTGCCACAGGAAGTAAAAGAAATAAGAACCATTAAAAATATTAACTCTAGCTAATGATACAGATGCAATGATTTCCACAACTTACTTTAAAATTCCTTTTAAAAAGGTTTTGATGGACTGACAGAGGCCTGGAAAGATGTTGGTGATAAGCAATTACAACAAAATACTAGATTATTACATAATCTAGGTGGGAGACATAGGAGTGTTCACATATGAGTGTTCACTGACAATTATTTTTTCAATTAAAAAAAAGTCTCTTCATGAAAAGCTGGAGAGTTGGGAATAAATGCACTGTACTCCACAACACAATCATAAACACATCCTAGCCTCAATTCTAAGTCAAAAAGGGGCTATGTGGGTGAGATAAGAAGGAGTGAATCCTTCAGATCATGTCTTAGAGTAAATTCTAGGATTTTATTGTTTGGAACTGCACTTTCTCCTATCAGGATCCTTTTAAATTTGTATTAGCTGTCAGCACCACATCCTCTGCAGTGCATGATGCTGTCTTCATAAGCTGAGAGACATTTGTTCATAAATATCCCAGTTATGCCCTGTTTTCCCAGAGAATATAATCAAGAATCAAAATAGGTGGAAAAAAAAAACACACACTATATAGCAAGTCAACGAAAACATAATGTAAAATAAGAGTTCGTTAAACCATAAAGGAATAAAATACAGTATTTAAGTTTACAATAGATCTTCAAATTTATAAGTAAACTAAGTAATCTGTAATAAAATCAGCATAACCAAAATCAGTTTAGAAATTATTAAGAAATATTTTATGTGATCATTTAATCATATATTATATGCAATTATTTGCTTTATTTACTATTTTCTTTTCATGCAGTAGTCACATTCAATAAGTCTACTCTTAAGAAAGAAATTACTGTTATCGGGCATCCAAGTATACACTATTAAAAATTGTGCCTGAGTAAGGGAAGAAAAAATGAAATTTTAACCCCAATTTCTAGCTACAGCTATCTGTTTCAAATAGTGAAATGTATTACCATGAATATTTTCAACCTTGTCAGCAAAACAACATGTGATTTAAATTGTTAATGTGTACATGTTTATGTCATGTGTCATATTCTTATATAGATTTCTTAAAGAAAAAATGTACAAATGTTGCAGTATCCTACTCATGACAATTAGTAATTTTTAAATTATTAAACAGAAAGATGTTGACAAGTGAATACTCATTAGAACAATTTTCAGTATTACCCAATTTAATATTTGTTGAATCTCAAAATTATTTTAGCACGAATCATATTATTTTCTTAACATTAAAGAAATTATTAAAGACTTTTTAAAAAAGAGATGAAGTATAAATCATAATATTCTTTTTATAATAAAAGAAGGATAAAAAAGCTCATTCTGTTTCTTTTACTGAACAGTTTTTATAATGAATTCAGAAAACCCTAAGGGGAAAAATCCCATTTGCCTAAAATCACATTCAAAAAACAAATTTAAAAGTTTTAATAGAAAGTAGTTTTACTCATTGAAATCTTACAAAATAAAAGGGAGAAAGATATTTAACTGTAGACAGTGTTTTTCTTCTTCAGTCATTACCTTAAGCAAATAGGTAATAGAAGAACTGACTATGGTTTAGAATGAATTAACTGCTACAGCAATTAATCCAGCTGAGTATGCCAACATATAATTTTCCACAATTAGTTACCACCTTTTTATTTTCCCATGCCTGGAAGAAAATGTGTCTCTCCTAATGACAGAAGACTCATTAAAAATACTAGTTGATTAACTTTAAGAGTTATCTACTTAATAGCTTTTCTACCATGAAACATTTTTAAAGTTAAGTATTTTCTGATTTTTAGCATCCTTACTGAATAAACAAAGCTCTGCCTCCTATGCAGTATATGTGTGTATGGGGGAGAAGTTTATCAAAGTGAATTAAAAGTCTATACCTAGGCATCTGGTTTCAGATCCACTCCAAAGACCTGAGGAAAGGCATTCCCGTACAGTGGATCCCACAAGCATGAATCCTGAATCGCAGGTAAAGATAGCTGTTGAGCCATATGAAGTTTGAGTTCCAATCTTATTTCCATTTGGAGGTGTAGGCAGTTCTCCACAGGAAATAACTTAAAAATAATAAATTATAATAAAGACACAGTCAATATCCACTTACAACAAAAACATGCCTTTAACATTTGGATTCTGTATGATTTATTTTTGACTATTACCTAAAAACAAAAAATCACATATATTAGTAGAGTGATATCATGTTTTGATACAGGTACTCATGTGTAATGTTTAAATCAAGTGAAAAATTAAGTCTCCTTGAGTGCCCATAAACCTTCTAACGTGATAGTGACACGTGGTGAAGTTATTTTCTTTGAATTTTGACTTGGCCAGTCTGGCTTTAGAGGAAAAAACAATCTCAAGAGTAAAGAAAGGTTAATTCATCAGTCCCAAATCTTTCTCTAACTTATAAAATGACATTGGGTTACTTAGGCCTTCAACTAGCCTAAACCAAAATTTCCTCAAATCTAAACAAATGTGAACATAGTAATTATAATTAGTTTTTGTCAAGGACTCTATAAAAAACTTTACATGTAAAATATTCAATTTTATACAGTCCATTAGATATATTTTTCACATATAGGGATAGGCTTTAAAAAATTAAAGACAGATTAACTGACTACCTAGGTTATTCAGAACCCATATGACTCTTTCATATTTAAAGACTGAAAGTGGAACAAGCATCATTCTAGAATGAAAAGAATAATTGGTAAAATTAAGTGCTTTTTATATACCAAGCACTATTATTAGTGTTTTCACTTATGCAATTCTCAAAACAACTCTGAGATAGGTATAATGATAGATAGTTACATTCACTAGAATATAGACAAGTGAAGTAACTTTAATAAAGTAACGTATAATTTATAAACTATAATAAACTTCATAATTAACCCTATAAATTACATTACTCAAGATTTAAACCCAACAGTCTATCATCAGAGTCCAATATTTAATCATCAACCCATACTTCTTTTTGACTCCATCTCTGGCTTTCAGCTCTAATGCTTTAGTTAGCTGTTAAATAGACAAAGAGAAAATTTGCAAACTTTAAATTGTTTCATGTAAAATTTAAAATGCACTGATTGTTTTCAGCAAATCCTTAAGATAATCCTTTGTTGGAACTATGAATATTATTAATATACAATATGGCTAAAATATTAGTACTTTAATTATTTTAGTTTAAAAGATGAGTACATGAAGAACCGGAACAATTAATATTCTTTTCATTTCTTCAATGAATTGCAATTCTTAGATTCCTTGACTTTTCCCCATCCTAATATCACCTAAGATTAGGTAGTAATCTAAATATATACATCATTTAAATCCTTCTACACAATAGAAGATCTAGAACAAAGGAACCAGGCAAACATGTGAAATTCCATATTAAATAGTGTGTTACAGATCATTTTCCCCTAGAAAAACCCCTTCTATAGGTATCATTTTAGTGAAATTATACTTTAAGAGTAATGAAGTTGCAGGCAGAGAAAGACCATGATAGAAAAAGTGGAAATAGAGCAAAATTTTCTAAATACAGATTCTTTAGAATGTAAAATAAAATTTAGAAATATATTTTTAAGATTTTAATTCATCCATGTTTATTTTATTCATTAAGATAACATTTATTTTAATAAAGCAAAAAATATCGTATACTGATACAGAGATTTAAAAAGTAAATTGCAAATCACAGATTATTCATAAGTAAAAGAATAATAGGTAATTGTGTACTTGCTACACATATAATAGTTAGCTTCTATATTAAACTTTTTAATCATCCTAACTTTATTTAGACTGGATTATTTTATTAGTTTATTTATATATTATGTATATTTAGTCTATACATGCCATAGAGTTTGATACAAATTAAAAGACTAAATTTTTGGGACAAAGTAAAACTCAATAAATATGGTGAAAAAAGTTCAGAAGGATTTCAAGGTATTCTTTCTAAATTATTGTATGCTTAGTTAGCTTGTTTATGTTAGACCTTACATTTATGTTACAAGAACAAGTGAAAAAAAAGACTTTATTATTCAGTTTGTTTCAATAATATTTACTGAGGTCCTTATGAAGCTGGTTCTCAACTGGTATTTAAAATATGTCTTAGTATTTTCATCACTTTACCCAACAGGAAGTGTCATGATTTTCTAGAGTAAGAATTTGGGGATTAGAAAAGACTAAACATATACAGCAGCATAGTGATTATCAGATTATTAGTGATTGTCAGATTGCTTGGATTGAATACCATTTCTCCATCATTTATAGGCTCTGTGACTTGTGCAAAACAATTAAATTGTGTGCTTAGCTTTCTTTTTGACAAAAGGAGCATAATATATGTAAGAGGCTAAAAGCAAAGTCCAGCAAGCAGTTAGATATGCAATAAACATTACTTAGTTGTTACAGTAATGACAGATCTAGAATTATGAGATTTCTGAATCTAAAGCTTATGTCCTTTTTCCATAAGCATTTACTAATAAAAAAACAGAAACCTTAAAATATAAGAAGAATTAATCATAGTATCTCACAGGGCATAGTGGTAGTGTGCTTGTAGTACCATCTACTGGGGAGATTGAGGCAGAATGATTACTTGAGCCCGGGAGATCATAGTCAAAAGGACAAAATGGACAAAGCAAGATTCCATTTTAAAATAACAATAAAAATATCAAGTTATTGTTCTAGTGTTTTTGGAAAGAAAGTGATTCAAGCAATCCAATCACCAAAGATAACTTCTGAAATAAGTTCAATGGAGTGTACACTTACTTTGGCAATATGGTCTCTCATTTCTCCAACTCCATGTACCATTAGGAAGGCATTCAATAGAAGCAGGACCTAGTCCATGATAACCAGGGTCACAACTGAAAACTACTTTGGTTTTGTACTCATAATGTGATCCATTCACAATTCTCCATCTTCCATGTTCCAATGTAAAGGAATTGATGCTTGGACATGTAACAACTATACAGAAAACAAGAATACAAATGCTAATAAGTAAATCTTGTCTGTTTCACTACCTAACTATATCTTATGCCAATTCTATTCTTCACATTTCCACTGTCTGAATTTTTTCACTATTGAGCCTCACAAGGTCTTCAGCATTTGTTCTTTATTTCTTCTTCACATTAATCATTTCCATTTCCCCAGCTGCATGGTACTGTTGGCAGTTCTCTGATCATAAACTGCTGTTTCAAAATTTAGAGCCTTTATACACATTATTCTACCAACCCAGAATCCCATTCACTGACTTACCTCTACTTTCTTTTTTTAAACATTTTGGAAAAAAACATATTTTCAGGAAAAAAAATTTGTTTGGTGAGAATGGCGTTTTTTGTTGTTGTTGTTTTTTGTGATATAAAATTTGGCTTATTTAAAATTTATTCAAGATAAGTAGAAGCATTATAAGACACCTATGCTACAATTACAAATACAAATTTTAAAAGAAATCACAGTGAAGTTAAAATGTTAGTACTAGATGGAAGTAACTGAAATATAGAGAAAATCAAAGATGTTATCTAAAACAAACTTTTCATTCCTTTTATTACCAATTTCTTTATTAGAATTAATTTCTATTATTGTATAATATTCATTATTCATTAAACTAGTAATAAGCATTGGGAAATATTCTACATATATGTAACATTGATAATACTGAAAAAAAGTCAGAAGTTATGGGCAATGTCAGAAGCTTCATTTATCCTTTTGAAACTAAGACCTGACAGTATTAAAATATAATTTTATTGTTGCAAACTGGGAAAAAAGTCTTCCAAATATCTTTGTATTGAAAAAAATGTTGAGGTATGCATGACTGTTTATAAAATAAATGAAACTTCATTAAATAAAATGAAAAGACACATTAATTCCTTGACCTAAATATTCTGGAGTTGCCAAAAATACGGTCTTTCAGTACTTCATTGTACCAAATAGTACTTTTATTTATCAATTTTTATTTCCTTCTTAGACATGGTGCTTCACTCAGGGAATTAGTCTTAATAATTCAATGGTACATAAAATTTTATATCATGTAAGATGCCAATGTATAAATGACAAAATTTCCTTAAAACACATACCAACACAGCGGGGAGTCTTATTATGATTGCTCCATGTTCCATCTGATTGGCACACAGCAGTGGTAAGTTCTTTGGATGACAATCTATATCCATCATTACAAAAATAGGTAACTCGGGTTCCTACCAAGTAGTCTGTAGTGAGTATCCCTCCATTTGTTGGAGCTTTAGGAATTCCACAGGAAATTGCTAGAATAAATATATACATAAAACATAGAAATGAAAACATACTTAAGTTATTAGTTAAATCTGTTAAACTATAAAACATGTAAAAATAATTTTTAAATTCCTCTGAATTTTCTGGCCCATAATTTTAAATAATTTATTTCAAACTCCTATTTAATGTGTTTAAATTGTTAAATCTACATATCATTAATGATTTGTTTCTTGGTTTCTACTTAGTTCCTAATCATAAGTACTATTATCAGCATTAATATAGATTACATGAGAATACAAATTAGGTAAATATAGAGTACATCTAGTACTAAATCATTTCTGGACCACCAAAATTCAGTTTGGCCAATTTAACTTAAAAAATAATTGTGAAAAATTTGGAAAGGAGTGGCAATCAATACTCATCAGTATTTTGATCAGGAACAAAACAAATTTATTTCTGCAGACTGACTGTCTTAGGTACAATCAAAATGTATATTCTTGGGCACCATCCACAGAATATCATAAATATTAGACATGTTAAATGCTTGAGGACCATTCACAGAGTATTGTGCATATTCAACATGTTAAAGAAATATAAGGCCAGGACTTATCTCAAAACTTATCTAGGATCCTCTTGAATTTCATTAATTATTTTAGTTGTCTTTATTTTATCTATAATACACTTGATTTAAATGAAAATTTCTTTAACTATGATCTGATAATGATGCAAAATTTATATTTTCATAGTTTATTTTACATATATTTATATTTTGTTTCTTATAAATTCAAAAGACTATACAGAAGTTTCTTGAGACTGATTCTTTTCCTCTTTGCCCTTCAAGTAACCCATTTGCATTCCCCCCCCAAAAAAAATACTATCGCCTTCCAAAGAACATAATGGCCAACAAAACACCAATTGAAGTGAGATTATTTGTATTTTTATATATCATTATCAGTGTAAACATTTAGACATCTCTACAGATAGAATAATATATTTGAGTATAAGTATCACCTCAGTACTAATGAGTTATTTCATAATAATGGTATATGTACTGCACTGTATTATGTTTACAAAATCATAAAGTTTCTGATTTCTAAAATATGTCTAGTCTTATGGGTTACATGTTCTAGACTTATAACCTACTTTTTTCTCATAGCAAAAGAAAGAAAAATAGATGTAGGTTTATTTTAAATTAAAAAAGATGTAGTTTTATTATAAATGCTATTTTCTTTTCGCCCTTCTCTTAATCCAACTTAAAATTAGAACCTCAAGTACTCAATTACTTTTTAAAACTAAATCCTACCACGGGGAGAAGGGCAAGAGAGAATAATTAGGAGGGTGCATACGATCAAAGTATGTTTTACGCAATGTATGAAAACGCCACAAAATCCATTATTTTGGACAATTAATGTGTGTGAATAATTATAATAAAATTGGCTTTAAAAACAAGTGCTCATCAAAAGCTCTCAAATGTATAATTTGTTGATTAACATGCTTCTCACGTTTTCTTCTATAGCAAGATACAATGCTCAGGCAGCTCCTTGGTTTTTAACAAAACACGAAGGAGAATAAAAACATCCCTGTTGAGTTGCTTAGTTAAAAGCAGTGAAGAAAAAATAACCAAGAAGTTGGTTACATGTTTCTCCTTTAAATTTGTTTCTCTAAGAGCATAACTGTGTACCCTGTGAGTCAAAATCAGTCTGCAGTATACTTCCCTTTTCTTATTCTCTATCGTCTTTCTAGGGACTCTTCACTAACCCAGCCACCCTTTCTGTTTCCATAATGTTCTGACAACAAAGTAACTTGAATGGTAGATGTATGAGTCAAGGATGTATATATAAGGGGAAAAAGCAGAGACACATAAATTTCATGACAAAGAAGAATTATCTATGTGTTTCCTTCCTCTTATATTCTATTTCCATCTTTCATTTTCAGGAGAGGAGTCTACAATGTGCTTCTGAAAATGTATATTTGGGGGCTGGGGCTGGGGCTCATTGGTAGAGTGCTTGCCTAGCACGTGTGAAGCCCTGGGTTCAACCCTCAGCACCACATAAAAATAAATAAGTAAAATAAAGGTATTGTGTCCAACTACAACTAAAAAATACATATTTTTTAAAAAATGTATATTTGGGAAATTTTAGTGATTCAAATAAAAAAGTTAAATGAGTTTAATCTTTTGTTGCTATTTTATCTACTTGGAGATGTTGTACTTCACCTTGACAGGCAGGGACCGGTGCATCCCACGAATGATACCCATAGGAAGACTTTCGGCACACAGCACTGCTTTTCCCAACAAGTCGGAATCCTCGATCACAGGCCCAGCGGACCACACTGTTAAGCTGTCCACCTGTCTGACTGATAATGTATCCGTGAGGCGGGGATTCTGGTGTACTGCAGTAGAAAGCTTTTCAAAAGGGAAAAAAAAAAACTGTCAGGACTTAATTAATGCATCAGAAATCATTTATTATCTAAAATTATGAACAACTAAACAATGAACACTAGTACTTAAGTGTAGATCAATTGTCATCTAAGTGGATTGTATTTGTGAACATCATATTATTTTCTAGCCTCTTTTGAAAATAGTCTACCTACACAGCTTTTAGAACACCTAACAATCTCTGGGCTTTCTTTTAATTTGTATTGTCACCTAGCTGTCTTTTATATTAAAATATATTTTCTTAATACTATACAGGTTCAAGAGCCCTACAAATATTTCATTGAATTTTGAAAACTATTTCTGTCATTTGAAGCCCTAAATCTGTAGCTTTGAAAGCAATATTTTAGAGCATGTTGTTTACATGTCACTTTGAATTTATCTCAAGACACCTATATCCCAGTAGGTCATGCATTTCATTTTGGTTGATGTCTAAAAGAGGCCCCCTTATTCCATAATCCTTTTCCCCAATCTATTAAAGAGTGTCCATTCTGTCAAGAGTGCTTACATATGGTGATAAAAATTGCCAATAAAATACTTTTTTTCCTTTTCTGAAGTCTGAAATGTCAAAAGATAATGTCAAATAGCTTTTTCATAAATATACTTTTGAGACTATTCAGCCTGACAGGTTCCATTTACCCTTTGAAACTTCAATATATTTATCTTAAAAAAACTGAAACTTTGGGAGTAAATAGTGAGAAGCAGATTGGACTTAGAATATATATGTCATAACCTGTCATTTATAAAGGAAAAAATACATCATTTAATATGTCAAGCTATTCATAGTAGCTAAGAGTAGTATTTTCTTTATATTTATATCATGAAATTAACATAAGAATAAGTCTATAATCTAATGCTTATAATTGTTTAATTTGAATAGCTTCCCTTTATATTGTTATAATCATTTAAAATATAATTAAATGTTCTAACTTTTAAATGCTCTGTCTGGGTACAACCTTAATAAAATGGCATTTATGTATTTCTTATAGTAGAAACATTGATTCAAAAATGAATAATCTTAAGCATGACTCAAGTATATATTTTAATTTTTAATCAGTTTTCCTTTGACTTTAATAGAAATTTATTGCAGGATAAAATGTGTAAACATATTAGTCAGTGACGTTATTGCTAATATTTATAAGACAAATCATTAAATTAAAATCTTGCTATCACATCATAATTTTAAAATCAAAGTAATTAGATGAGATTGTTTTATTTATATACTATATGTATATTTGCAAATTTATACAAATTAGTGAAATCTGGGGCTATTATGTTATTGGACTAAAATTTAAAATTTATTTATGCTTCAGAATTGTATCAGAGTTGTTTGTAAACATTTATAATTGCAATTTTTAGTTGAACTGATTAGCAATGACTCATGACTTGGAAGACACTGGATGCTAAAGAAAAAGATGGCTGGTTGGTTCTGAGGTATTCTGCTATTGAGCCCACACTATGGCCTATGACATGATTTAGGATGGCAATAAAGACAAACAACCTTTGTGTACAGAGGACTATTTATGTATACTTACACAACAATGTAATTATTGGCTTACAGTAAATGGACCTTATAAAAGGAAAGCATATTAAAAAAGTCTTGGCACTCTGATACTAAAAGGAATTTTCAGTCCAAAGCTGTCGAAATATAGAAAGCACTAGTGATTTTTTAAAAAACTTAAATGCTTTCCAATGATGTCTTCACCACTCACTCTTATAATATTCAAGGTATTTCAGTTAAATTTACAACAAGTTAACCTATGAATTTCATCTTTTAGAAAATCATGAAGGATGTAGAATTATTATCATTATAACATAAAAATTGAAGTACAGATAGGTTACCCAAATTGTTTAGGAAACAGCAATATAGGAGTTGCGATTTTAATGCTTCTTATTCAATTGTGTCTCTGCTCTTCAACTATAATCACAGTGAGGATGCCAATGAGATGCATACTGAGTATAAGTATCACATACCTATGTATCGTATCCTGAAGCCTTTTTTGTTATTGCCATGGTCTGCTGACCACTGAAGAAATACTTCATGACCATTGCTTGTTATATTAAAAGAAGAAGAATAATCTCCACTGAGAGAAATAAGAACTGGACTTTGAATATTTGGTCCTTCAGAAAGAAAACAATATAATTTAGATATAACTAAATAACTATATTCTCATTTTATCTTTAGTACTTTATATTTTAAAATAGTATTAAACTGTTCCACGGCCAATCTACTTCATCAGCATAAGTAAAAACAACACAAAACATTTTATTTTAAACATTTTAATTCTACAGTTGAAGTAACTATAGTGTATAGAAGAATATTTGACCTAACTTCAATTTTTATATGCTATAGAATTATTTTAATGTTGATACTTCCAAAAATATATTTTAAGTAAACGTCACATAGGTAGTTGTCCATCCTAAAGATCTGAATGTAAAATTAGACCATATTAACTAAATTTATGAATGCACAGTAAATATAACCCACGGTTACCATCATACACCTGAAGAACATCAAATTCCTTTTCTGTCTGGAAGAATTCAACAAACATGCTGATATTATAGCCTTTTTCCACTGAAATGCTCCATGCACACATTTGAAGATTTGGGTAACTATCAGGGTATCCAGGACTCAATATGACTCCCGTAGAATCTAGTCGTAATTCATTGGCAGGGCAAAGCACTGTCAAAGGAAAAGGTCATTGAATAATGCAAACCTTTTAGAATCTAAGTGAAAAACTGCATCAAATACTGAGTACTTCACTTTCATGTGCAGTAATTATAAAAATGATATCTTAAATTATGTGTAAGAAAACATATTAAGCTTATAATTTAAATTATGGAAGAATGACCTAAAACTATCATTAATTTCTTTTTTTATTACATAGAAAATGTACTATTTTCACAAACAACAAACTATAGATAACTAAGAGATAAGATATTTATTTCCTTCTATTTTTTTTCATTGTTTGTGGACTTCATGTTTTTATATTCTCCCATCTACGCCTTTCTTATGTATATTTTGCCCCTTCCTTCATTTTCCTTACACTTTTACTCTCTCATTTTTTACTCTTCTTTACAGTGTTTTTTTTTTTTTTTTTTTTCCCTCTTCTCCTTAAACTTTTACTTTATTTGATTGTTAGAGCCAAAGGGGAAACTGCCCTCTCTGAGTGTTCATTTCAGGAAAAGCCATTTCTGATCTCTGGGAAGTGCTTACACCATGAGGCTTTAACACTAATTTGGGTCACTAGTTATCTTTCAGTTCTTTTTGCTATATCCAGACCTTAAACATAGGCTAATGCACAAGAACTTCTTATTTCATAAACGTTCTGTTTTAATATCAGAACTCCCAAGAATGAACAAATAAATAAATATAGAAGTATATAAATTTTGTTACATTTTGATGAAATAACATAATTATGTTCTAACAGTTTCCAGAGTACAGTAAACGTTACTTGTGACATGAACAGCATTTGAATGTTAGACCAAATAATAAAAATATCTTAAATTTGGACTTGGAATAAGAGTATAATAAAGACGATCAAGGTTCTATTAATTAAGATGTCATTTTATCCTTTCTAAAAATAATTTGAGGTTGTCTATTGTATAACTGCTCAGTGTGACCTATATTATTCTGAACTTTTTTTTGTAGAAATAAACCTATACATACTAATCAGGATTTAGTTCAATTTAAGGAAGAACTTCCTATTTCTAAGAACAGAGGAAGTGACTATAGCAAATGTCCTATGACTAACAATGCTAAAGAGTTTCTAAACTTAGCCAGGGTGATATTTTGAGTATTCTTACTAATGACACTGAACCAACTGAAGAAATGGGTAAACTAGATAATTTTAGAGGATTCAACAAATTGAAAATATATCTTACCAATTCTTTATTCAATTACTGTACAAGAACTTCCATTTCCTGGGGTTAGATTTCATTGCATCTTCAAGTCATTAGAATATGATCTTAAGAATACTCTGTTTTTCAATGTTTTTTCAGAAGAATTAGACTTGGAAAAACCTACTGTAGTTGTTAAATTGTAGGTAAGGTGAAGGAATAAATTGAAATTATATATTCAGAGTTTTTAAGGTGTAAGAAAAATTTAATATTTTGAGTTATAAAGTTTCCAAGAAATACACAAATGAACAATATTAGCAAATAATGAATTATGGAAATATGTGATTACTCCTTGAACATGTTAATAACTTGACGAGAAAAATAACTTGGAAATCTTGAAGAGAAAACTGGCCCCAGATCTAATTTGCAGATTGTTAAAAACTCTCAATAGAGTAAGTATAGTTGTTATTGTTTATTTTATTTGCTTTTTTTTTTTTTTTGGTACCGGGGATTTAAACCACCTAGCCACATTCCCAGCCCTATTTTGTATTTTATTTAGAGACAGGGTCTCGCTGAGTTGCTTAGTGCCTTGTGGTTGCTGAGGCTGACTTTGAACTCAAGATCCTCCTGCCTAAGCCTCCCAAGCCACCGGCATTATAGGCATGTACCACCACCCAGCTGTTTATTTCCTTTCTACTTTTACTTCAGTTTCTTTTCCTTAAGTCTAAAATTCTATTACTTGAATATGATTTTGAGTTTTAAAAAAATAATAATTGAATAATGGTATGTGATCATTGTCAGCCTAAAAGGAGAACCCAAACTTTTGATTTTCACAAAATGAAAAACAGGTAAAAGATAGACTTAACAGTTAGAAATACAATGGACTATTTGAGTTAAAACCAAGATCTTTAGTGAAAATGTAGTTGTGAAATATTCATATAGGTAGTGTGATCCAATGTGTTTTGGTGTAAGTACACAAACTTACCCTTTGCAAACTATCCAATAAATTGTAAGTAACCTGATGGCTACCAAGTAAAAGAGTAAATATTCATTGCTTTTAACTATAAGTTAAGCACCGATTATACATTACATCCACAGTCATAACTTTTAAAAGTTATTTCCAATTTCTTTTCCTATGGTGCAAAGAATAAAAATAAAGCTTAGAAAGTTTAAAGTGCCCACATTTGCACAGATGTAGCTGGGTCCAGTATTTTTGTCCACCAAATATAATTGAAAGGTTGAAGAAGCTAAAATGTAAAGGATAAAACTTGATTCTATAAAGTCTTTCTTCTAGTTCTGTCAAGTTACACATTTCTGAAGTAAGATTAAGTTTTGTTCTCCTGGGACCTGAAAATTGTGAAAGCATAAAACAATTCCCGGAACTGCCCATTAGATGTGTGTCAAAATCTCCCCTGACCACCTAGTTGCTCAACGAGAATAACCCCCTTTCCTCAGAAACTGTGCAGTCCCGCACGTACACACCTCAGGGCTTAAACCAATCAGTTTAAATATATACCCATCTTAGTACTGACCAATCACCCACACCCGACCTGTTCCTGCCAGTGAATGTGCTAATCATGTTTTAGAGTTGTTATTTGATTTTCCCACGGTATGCGATGATTTGCTAAAGGATGCTATGATGTAAGTAAAGTCCCTGCCCCCTCCAAAGAATGTATATAAGCTCTGCTCAAATTGTTCCCGGGGCTCTTTGTTCTTTGCTCCTCTGAAGTGAGCTCTGAGCCCCAGCATGCTGGACCCCCAATAAACCCTTTGCTGTTGCATGAGACAGTCTCTTAGTGGTCTTTTCCTCTGACGTTTGCCTGACCTTTACATAATGATTAGATTTTGTTTATTCCAAACTCTTTGAAAGTTAGCATATTTAGCCTTGTTTTCCATATGTTAAGTGGAATAAAGAAACTAAAGAGGATTGAGTTGAAAAATAAAAATAATATTGCCTCTTTTAGGAACAGTGAAAAAAGTAAAATAATTTAAAATAGATTAAAAACAATGTAGAATTTTCTAGCAGATTCTAAACAAATGACTTTTAGCAATCTTGTGACTTAATAAAACAAAAATGTAAGTCACGTTTTTGTTTTTTATTAAGTGTCTGATCAATTAATTAAGAGAGAAATTGCATAGACTTACCCTAAGGGATGACTTAATAATTTTCAGTTTGTATCTGAAGTATTATTATGATACATAAATTCAATTGCCCTTTTTATTATTAGCCACAGCACACAGAATAATTAGAGGAGTAACTGCTAATCTATAGGAAATTCTTATTTTGGAAATAAGACATTAAGAGATCAGAGAGATGAGGAATTGTGAAATAGCTAGGTTATCTGTATTTTTTTTATTTAAAAATTTTAAAGTTTATTAGATTAACGTCCAGACATAAAAACAGAAAGTTTTTGGTTTTAAGAATTCACAAAGTAGTTTATATATTGAGGTCAGGAAAAAAGTCCTGTTATGTACTTGATTCATGCCCCCATGTCTGCCCAAGTTATCTTCCCACATATTGTCTCCTAAAATGCAGAAACTATCATCTATGTATGCATATCTAAATATCTCAATATGAATTATAATCATAAATGGCTAGAGAGTAGTCTTGCATGAAGGAGAAAGTTGAATGAATGACATCCACATATGCACAATGATAAGTTATAGACTTCTGAATATCAAACCAACTTTGAGATGTTCTGTTATCACTAAGATCATGAGAATTTCTAATACTGAATCTAGTTTATATTTCTCAAACCTATCTTTCTTTTTGCTACTTTAAAAACCTCCTGTGAAAATGCATCATCTCTCTTTGCTTCCTGGACAGCAATAAATGGAGCAGCACTACTTTGCCATGCCCTTCCATCATTATGCCTGCACCATGCCCAGAGCAGTGGATCCAGCCCACCTTGGACTGAATCTCTGAAACAATGAGTCAAAATTAAACATTCTCTCTTCTAAAACAACAAACAAACAAACAAACCCTTCATGTAAACAAATATTCATGTAAGGACTCCTATTAGGCAGAAAATCAAATTATATTTTCTATTTATAGCATGTTTATAGCAATAAACAGAATGTTTGATTTAGGTTCATGCAATACTTAAGATACTGCATAGTAAAGATCTCCATACACTGAGAAATAAACTCCAATGAAGGAAATAATTCAAGAAAATCTGGAAAATACTAAAACAATAAAATTTGGTTTTATTAAAATTAGCCAACATTTATTATTGGTTTCTGTCAGGGGCTAGAAGGAAATTCTCCTGAAAGAATAGCTTGACAGTTACAAGAAACAGCCCCCTGGGAGACATCCTGCAGCTACCTATCTTCCTGAAACATCCTGCTGTTATCAGGATCATCAGACATCCTGCAGCTGGCAGTTTTACCACCCACATCCAGCAACTGCTGATTAGAGAGCTTCCCTATCCCCAGCATATAAATACCCCTGTGTGAACAATAAAAGTTTGCAGCTTGATCAGAACTTGCTGTCATCCCTCATGTCTCTTGTCCCTTCATTCCTCCCCACCTAGGTTCCCGGCCCTCGTTGATGTGTCCTGCCGGTTGGGACAGGTTTCTGTATGTTAGGCACTGCCCATGCTAGATAAATCATCAATAAATGATTACTGAATATCATGATTCTATATATCATTCAAGGTCTATCATTCACTTGGCCTTGTAACAAAGTGAATTAATTTCTTGAAATCCACGTTCCTCTCCCACCTGTATTTTTATGTGTATATCAGCCATTTAGATCATCCTTTCTCTAGGTTTGTTCCACCAGAATAAATTTCATTGATGATTTAGAACTTGGGAAACAATGCCTCTGTCAAGCTTTCCCTGAATTACAAATAGTTAAAGATTATGATTCTATATCCTCCAGGTTAATTCCTAAACATAGTATTGGATTGCCATATCTTTATTCTGTGATGGCTTCATAACAAGGACCACTTAAAACTTGTGGTTGGTTTATAGGTAGTTTTTTTTTTTTCCTCAGCTCTTCCTACTTAATAGATGGTCAATAAAATTTAATCTAGTGGTTAAAATAAATTTTTCTCCAAACAAAAGCAATCAACATTAGAGGCTTTATTTAAAGTGATTTCCTTTGGATTTTACCTTCATTTCCATCCCTTACAGCAAAACTAATTTAAATAAGTTGAACTGACTTGGCTGATAGGCTAAACTTAAAAAATTATACCTTTAAAGTAATACAAAGAATAAAAGTAATTTAAACCTAAATCTGAGAAATAATGGAATAAATATATACATATATATATATATATATATATATATATATATATACACACACACACACACACACATATATATGAGTTGTATACTTCATAATAGTATTGCCAGTTAAATATGTATCATTAACATAAAATAGAATTTTACCCTTACTGAACAAAGAACAATATTTGGAAATAATTAAATGTAAAAATCATTACCTTGACAAACTGGAGGTGCCCCATCCATCTGCAGTCGCTCTCCTAATCTACATGTCAGAATTGCATTTCCAACTAATGTAAATCCTGGAAGACACTGGTACCTGATAATATCACCTATTGGAAAAAAAAAAAACGAAGAGAGAGAGGACAAGAAGTTCAAATAAGCAAGAAGACAATAGAAAAAAAAAGAATAATAATATTTTGATTTTAAAAGCAGAGTATAATTTTCTTTTAGTCATTTTCAATCAGTATCAAAATTTCTACTAGCTAATAGATATTCATTTTATGGACTTAGGCTTAGGCCTGAACTCACAGAAGTTAAGACTGCAGTGTCAGAAGGCAGCAAAATAACAGTTTGTGAAGAAGAACCAAAATACAATTGATTGTATGGCCACAATTCCAACACTGTTTACTAATAATGTACATGCTGTAAAAGCAGAATTTTTACATCTTGTCCAGTATTTCCTCTTGTGACCATTCTCTCCTCTTAAGAATTATGAACTATTTCTCACCACCCCCAAAAACAAGGTCTAAAAGCAAGCTGCTACTGTTCTTTTTGTTAAAGCAAATATCTCTGCTAACAAGACATTTTCTCTGAAAGTAATTTAACAAACTTTACCTATTTCAAATTCATCATCTTCAGTCAAAATTTCAGCATTGGGTACGGGTGGTGGAGGTTGGCACACTCTTAGTTGATAGGCTATAAAAATAGACAATGTGTTTATTCTTCATCTGAGTAGCTACATATACTCACATATGTGGAAAAAAAAGAAAATTATATAATGTTTTTATGAGAATAAAAATGTGGTAGAATTTATCAAGTTTTTACTATTTCTTTATTTTTAAAAATAACTACAACACTGAGAGAAAACAACACATTTCTGAGATATTCAAATATTTTCCTCAAGTAAAGCTTGATTTTTACTCCTTATTTCTTACCCTCAGTCAGTTCTTTTAGTTATGTGGTTCATAACATTTTGTTTTATTCCTTCTTGACATCAAAATTTGGAAATATGTACTCACGTTAGTTTCCCTGCTCAATGCCTATCTTCTCTAAGGTTCCTCACAGAATGCTCTGTACTGGCATGCAGTAATAATTGAAAACAAGCATTCAGTGTTCACTTTAGGCCAAAGAATGTTTTAAACACCTTATTTATATTAACCCAATTGGCTGGGCACCATGGTGCACACCTGTAATCCCAGTGGCTCAGGAGGCTATGACAGAGGATCACAAGTTCAAAGCCAACTTAGCAAAAGTAAGGTGCTAAGTAACTCAGTGAGACCATTTCTCTAAATAAAATACAAAATAGGGTTGGGGATGTGGCTCAGTGGTTGAGTGCCCCTGAGTTCAATTCCAAGTATGCACCCGCCAAAAAAAATTATATATATGTATGTATGTATGTATATATATCAAAATGATCCTCATAAAAGTTATTTCATTATTTAATTTATATAACCATTTCTATAACTTTCTTCACCTTATAAAAATCTATTAAAGAGAGGTAAGAATTTGCCCCAAATCGTACAGCTATAATGTTGCATAGCTAGGGTTTGAACCTTGATATCCTGACTCCAGAGCCTTATTCATTATGCTATATTAGAATATTTATGGGATACCTGTTTGTTGAATATCTTGTTTCTGATAATCTTTATCACTTGAACTGGTCATCCAATTTAATTAGAATTGGCATAATTTAAAGGTCACAAGAAAGAATCTCCATGGATATAAACATCATGCTTTTCAGCCCCCAATGATAACTAAAATCAATAACATTTTTTTTTTTTGCTTAATTAAAGCCTGGTTTCTCTAAGAGTCTATTAAAAATGTATTAAACTTCTTTTTAATTTAAGAAATATGTTTTGCTCTATTACAACATGAGACAAATGAGAAATTTGTTAAATTTCATTGCTGAAACTTAGAAGTTGTTTTTGTACCTCAATGTGCAGATGAAGAGAATGAGACCTACTGGACACAGTAACACAGACAAGATCACACAATTAGGACAGGGACTAGTCAGACTCAAGTCTATCTCCTCTAACTTCAAAGTCCATATCTTTGATATTACTCCTATTGCAAGAGTATTATTAGGAGTATTGAGGTGCATCAACTAGAAAAGTTAAGAAAAACACCTACAAAAAAAATAACCATTTGACAATATTAATTTTTCCTATCTGAGGGCATGAGAGATCTTTTCGTCTTCTAATATCTTCTAATTTCTTTCTTTAATGTTCTGTCGTTTTCATTGTAGAGGACTTTCACCTCTTTTGTAAAATTGATTCCCAATTATTATTTTTTTGAGGTTAATGTGAATGGGATAGTTTTCCTAATTTCTCTTTCAGAGGATCCATCACTGATTTATAGGAATGCATTTGAATTATGGGTATTGATTTTATATTCTGCTACTTTGCTGAATTCATTTATTAATGCTAGAAGTTTTCTGGGAGTTTTTTGGATCCTCTAAGTACAGAATCATGTTGTCAGCAAATAATGATATTTTGAGCTCTTCTTTTCCTATCTGTATCCCTTTAATTTCTTTCCTTTGTCTAATTGCTCTAGCTAGATTTTCAAGGACTATATTGAATATAAGTGGCAAAAGAGAGCATCCCTGTCTTGTTCCAGTCTTTAGAGGAAATGCTTCCAATTTTTCTCCAATTAGAATAATATTGACCTTGGGTTTAGCATAGATAGCTTTTACAATGCTGAGGTATGTTCCTACTATCCCTAATTTTTAACATGAAAGAGTGATGTATTGTCAAAATGGCCATAATACCCAAAGTTCTATACATATTTAATGCAATTCCAATTAAAATTCCAATGTTATTCCTTATACAAATAGAAAAAGCCATCATGAAATTCATTTGGAAAAAATAAGAGGCCCAGAACAGCCAAAAATTCTTAGCAAGAAGAGTGAAGCAGGGGACATCACAATATCAGACCTTAAATTATATTAAAAAGCTACAGTAACAAAAACAGCATGGTATTGGCACCAAAAAAGGCAAATAGACAAATGGTACAGAATAGAAGACACAGAGACAAACCCACATAAATAAAGTTATCTCATACTACACAAAGGCACTAAAAATATACATTGGAGGAAAAAGAAAAGCCTCTTCAACAAATGGTTCTGGGAAAATTGAAAATCCATATGCAGCAAAATGAAACTAAATCTCTATCTCTCACCATGCACAAAACTCAACTCAAAGTGGATCAAGGACCTAGGAATGAGACCAGAGAAAATGCACCTAATAGAGGAAAAAGTAGGCCCAAATTTTCATCATGTCAAATTAAGCCCTGACCTCCTTAACATGACTCCTAAAGCTCAAGAAATAAAATCAAGAATCCATAAATGGGATAGATTCAAACTAAGAAGCTTTTTCTCAGCAACAGTAACAATCAATGAGGTAAAGAGAGAGCCTACATTTTGGGAGCAAAATCACGCACATCAGGATGCATAAATCTCCAAGATATATAATGAACTCAAAAAAACTTAACACCAAAATAGCAAACAACCCAATCAATAAATGGGCTAAGGAGCTAAATAGACACTTATCAGAAGAAGGTATACATTTGATCAACAAATACATGAAAAATTATTCAACAATCAGAATACAAACTACAAACAATTTTAATTGTTGGCAAAGATGTGGAGGAAAAGGCACACTCATACATTGCTAGTGGGACTGCAAATTGGTGCAACCACTATGGAAAGCAGTATGGAGATTCCCTGAAAAACTTGGAATGGACCCACCATTTGACCCTGCTATCCTATTCCTCAGTCTATACCCAAAGGACTTAAAAACCACATAGTATAGTATCACAGCCACATTAATGTTTATAGCAGCACAATTCACAATAGCTAAACTGTGGAACCAAACTAGATGACCTTCAATAGATGAATGGATAAAAAAAAACTGTGGTATATATACACAATGGAATACTACTCAGCATTAAAAGAGAATAAAATTATGGCTTTTGCAGGTAAATGGATGGAATTGGAGAATATCATGCTAAGCAAAGTAAGCCAATCTCAAAAATCAAAGGCCAAATGTTTTCTTTGATAAGTAGGTGCTGATCTATAATAGGGGTAAGGGTGAGAAACATGGAGGAATTTTTAGGGAGGAAGGGCAGGAGAAGGGGCATGGGACAGGAAAAATGGTGGAATGAGATGGACATCATTATCCTAGGTATATGTGAGACTGCACATATGGTGCAACATTACATCATGTACAACCAGAGAAACGAAAAGTTGTGCTGCAATTGTGTACAATGAATCAAAATGCATTCAGCTGTTATATATACCTAATTAGAATAAATAAATAAATAAATTTTCAAAAAAGAAAATGAGACAAACTTTGAACAATTAGATTTTTCCAGTTCTAAAGGGTAATCATGGGCATAGAGTATTTTAGATAAAAAAAGAAACTGGAACAAAAACCTGAACAAAAGGACAAGTAATTGATTCATCATCACAGACCAAAAGACCATTTATAAAAGGTTAATTGGCTAATAAACTTCTAGGATAATGAGAACAGAATTTTATTTTTTTCAAAATATAGACAATGAGTGATGAATCAAGGAAAATCTGCTTCAGTTTCCTTCTGTAAATTGTTATCTGACACTCAAAATATCTTCTTCCAGTACTTCAACCTGTTTATAAAAAGAACTCTCTGTGCAGGGATGTTAATTTACAGATAAACACTCTACACAGAAGGGTTGCCATTAGAGAAATAGGGTTTTATTGGTGATATAACTAGGTAAATTGAATTCATATTGAATTAGGATAGGTTCTTAATCCAATATGGCTGGTATCCTTATTTTAAAAAGAAGAAACACAGAGACAGATACACAGGGGAATTGGCCATGTGATGATAGTACAGAGGTTTAGTGACTCTTATATAAGCTAAGGAATGCAGAAAGTTGCTGCCTACCACCAGAAGCTGGGAGGACACAAGGAAGCATCCACAGATCAGGCTTTCAGGGAGAGTGGAAAGGCCACACACTGATTTCAGACATCTAACCTTCAAAATTGGGAAAACATTTCTGTTGGTTTAGGTCACCCAGTTTGTGGTTCTTTGTTCTAGCAGCACTACGAAACGAATACACCTATATTGTTAAATTTGTCTACTGTGTATTGCTTATGTTCTGTGTCTTTCTGATAAAACCTTCCTACATACCAATAAACTGATGAAAAAAAAATCGAGACAGCATTCATGTGGAATCCACTGTTCACAAAGAACACTCTAAGGCACTTTACATGATTTACTCATTAATCACTAAAATTAGCCGTGTCAAGATATGTGTAAATATACCAGTGCTGTAAGAAGCAATACTAAGTTTCACAATGATGCTTAGAATAAGGCCAGACACACATCATTTCAAAGGGATAGCACTTTCCCTCTTTGGCAAATATTGAGAGCAATATGACTGCTGTGAGGATTCTTGTGCCCCTACACATAAAATTTCACTCTGGTGTGACCTTCCTCACAAACATAATGATATTCAAAGCACCCATCTGAATTTCCAGAATATATCACAATATCTGTTTATGTTCCTAGTCTAAATTATATATGTTTTTAATTTACCAAGATCATTGTTTTCTACTGATGCACCCTATACTGTAATATAAACCCATGAACTTAGCAACATATTTTATAGTTACATGTAACAAATGAATGTTCTGTAATTTTAAAACTATGAGG